CAAAATTGAACGGATTGGATTACTAAACTGAGATACACAACAGATTGAAATATAATTCCACTTGACCATCTTACTACCAGGAAGAGATACCTTCAGCTGAACACCACAAACAAGGTACATTTAAACTAAAAAAAACAACTCACCTCCATTTGTATATTGGGTTTTATATTTGATCATCCATTCAGCAATGCTCAGATTTCATTTCTAAACACCAAGAAAATTGATGAAAACTATTTAACTAAAACAGATTGGTTTTGAACTCCTGTAATCTGACCTGCATGCATGCTTTCTTATCTGTTATCTACATTGCAGCCTGAAGTACAAAATCTCACACCTCACTGGTGTGAGGCCTGAATCCTATAGGGCAGGGCAATGTAACCAGCCGCCACTGCTAACACCCTTACAAAAACTAGAAGCTATTTTAAGTCCTTCACTGATGAGGGAATATTCACCTATAATCCCTCATATCTGTATTCCCTCAGACCCCAAAAAGTGGTCGCTGCACTCAGTCCCTCGCTAGTGGTTACCCTAAAATCACTTGGCATCTTCAAAGGGACTGATAGGGGTTGTCGTGGAGAAAAATGAAAACTTAAAGTTCAGTCTCCTGACCAGGGCCGGTGCAAGGATTTTTGCCGCACTAGGCAAAAGAAAGATTTGCCGTCCCCCACAGTGACATCACAATGCCCCAACCATATGATCTGACATATGAACTAACGCCAGTGCTGCACACAGTGTGTGTTTACATTAAAAAGCCTGCAGGGAAAAACTATAGACAACAGAACCACTTTATTAAGCTGCAGTGGAGATTAGTGTCACTAATAATATACTAGATTGCCTACTTACAATCAGATGAGGATGGTGATGGACTCTGGCTGCAGTCTGGCTCCATTGGTCTGGTGTAGAACAGGATCTTTGGAGGCTGTTTGTAACTGTGGTCACAAAATTTAATGTTCTGGGAGAACGGGAAGCAGCTCCATTTTTTGGGGCCCCTTACACAGCTCAAGGTCTGGGCCCCAGGGCCTGACGGTGAGTATGCCCATAAGGCCCACCCATAAGTCCACCTACATGTTCCACCCATGAGTTCGCTCACAGGGAGTGGAGTGTGTAGGGGATGTGTTACTGTAGAGGATCTCGTGTGTGCTTATGGAATGTAGTGTATAGGGATTCCAGTTTGTGTAGGTGATGCAGTGTGTTTGTGTGTAGTGGAAGCAGTGTGTTTTTGTGTAAGGGATAGAAAGCAGTGTGTGTTTGTGTATAAGGGATGTATTGTGTGTTTCTTGTTGTGTGTAAGGGATGCATTGTGTGAATCTTTGTATGCATAAGGGATGCAAAGTGTGTTTCTGTGTATGTAAGGGATGCAGTGTGTGTGTCTGTAAGGGGTGCGTTGAGTGTGTGTAAGAGATGCATTGTGTTTCTGTGTGTGTGTGTGTAAGAGAAGCAGTGTGTGTTTGCATGTGTGTGCAAGGGATGCATTGTGTGTTTCTGTGTATATGTGCAAAGGATGCATTGTCTTTATGTGTAAGGGTTGCATTGTGTGTGTGTGTGTGTGTGTGTGTGTGTGTGTGTGTGTAATGGATGCATTGTGTGTTTCTCTGTGTGTAAGGGAAGCATGTTGTGTTTCTGTGTGTATAGGGATGCATTGTGTGTGTGCGTAGTGTGAAAGAGCTCCCTGTCCTGCCCCCTGTCCTATAGAGCTCTCCCTTCCATCCCTTAGAGATCTCCCCTGCCCCTAAGTGGTCTCTCCTCTCCCCCCCCACCTCCCTTAGTGGTCTCCTCTTCTCCCCGACTTTCCATTAGTGGAATCTCATCTCCCCCTTAGTGGTCTCTGCTCTCCTCTGCCCCCCCTTTCCATTTGTGGTCTCTCTTCTCCCACCACCCTCCCCTAGTGGTCTATCCTCCACCCCCCCTCCCTTAGCGGTCTTTCCTCACCCCCTCCCATAGTGGTCTCTCCACCACCCCCTCCCTCCTTTAGTGGTCTCTCCCTCCCCCACGTTCTCCTCAACCCCCCCTCCCTGTGTTCTCATCTCCCCCGTGTTCTCCTCTTTCTCCCCGTGTTCTCCTCTTCTTCCCCTCCTGTGTTCTCCACTTCCCCCTCCTGTGTTCTCTCTTCTTCTCCCCTACCTGTAATGTCCTTCTTCTCCCCTCCCTGTAATCTTCTCCCCTCCCCGTAATCTTCTCTTCTTCTCCCCTTCCCTCCCTGTGATCTCTTCTTCTCCCGTAATCTTCTTTCTCCCCCATAATCTTCTCTTCTTCTCCCCTCCCCCTGTAATCTTCTCCCTCCCCCTCCCTCCCTGTAATCTTCTTCTTCCCCTCCCTCCTGTAATCTTCTCCTTCCCCCCCTCCCTCCTGTGTCTTTCTCCTCCCCCCTCCTCCATGTGATCTTCTCCACTCTCCCATTAATCTTCTCCACTCCCCTCCCTCCCTGTATGATAACTTTCCATCCCCCCTCACCCTGTAATCTTCTCCATCCCCCCTCCCTCCCTGTAATCTTCTCCACATCCCCCCTCCCTCCTGTAATCTTCTCATTCCCCCTCCCTCCTGTAATCTTCACCCCCCCTCCCTCCTGTAATCTTCTCGGCTTCCCTCCTCCTCCTCCTGTGATTTCTCCCTCCCCGACCTCCTGTAATCTTCTCCACTCCCCCCTCCCTCCCATCTTCTCTTCTTCTCCCCCCTCCCACGCTCCAATCTTCTCCACTCCCCCTCGCTCCAATCTTCTCCACTCCCCCTCCTTCCCTCCCTGTAATCTTCTTTTCTTCTCCTCACCTCCCCTTCCCTGTAGCGTGGCCGATCTCCTCTCCGGTCCGTGACCCGGCCGGACTGACAGGAAGTGCACACTGAGTGTGTATAGAGCGCTCAGGCAGCTGCAGCATTTAAAGGGCGATGGGGCGCAGGGTGCCCCCTCCTATATGACGCCCTAGGCGGCTGCCTAGTTCGCCTTATAGGAAGCACCGGCCCTGCTCCTGACACTATCACAGCTGCTCCACCACCCTGTCTACCTGCAATCCCAATTGAAGTGATTCAACATAAAAGCCACAAAAAGCGCATCAAATCAAGGAAATCCTGATTAGAAGACACAGGGTTTCCATAGTACAGAGCAAAAACTCAGAATCACAAGACTGTTCTTTCAGACCAATCCTGTGCAATGCTAGATCAATAAGGAACAAAACAGATATTATTGCCGACGTTATTGAAACATGTGAATTAGCATTCATTACAGAATCATGGCTAGATGAAAATGCAGAGCCGATTCTAGAGGCAACTATTCCAGGCAATTACACAGTGTTCCACCGCCCAAGACAGGATCGCAAGGGAGGTGAAGTTATGATCTGTGTGAAATCATCTTTAAATCTTTAAATCCCAGACCAAAATCAGTTCACAAACCCCAATCTTTGGAATGTATAGATGCCAGCCTCTCAATAGATAGAGGATTCCGGAAACTGTTAATATAAAGGTTCCCAGGAGATGGGAAGAAATTTCTTTAGGAACTCTCAGACCTATTGACTGGTTTAATCCTTGAACACCCCAAATAGCTTATATTGGGAGACTTCTACACTTGTTGTGTGTAAGGGATGCATTGTGTGAATCTTTGTATGCATAAGGGATGCAAAGTGTGTTTCTGTGTATGTAAGGGATGCAGTGTGTGTGTCTGTAAGGAGATGGGAAGAAATTTCTTTAGGAACTCTCAGACCTATTGACTGGTTTAATCCTTGAACACCCCAAATAGCTTATATTGGGAGACTTCTACACTTGGATTGATGACACTCTATCCCTGCTTGGGCAGGATCTCCTCAGTTTGATAAGTGCACTTGGCTTCACACAAATCGTCGCCACTTCCACCCACAGCAAAGGCCATACACTTGATCTAGTTTTCCAGTCTGGACTAGAAGTGTTTCCAGTAACTGTAAATCCAGTTGTTTGGTCAGACCACCACTCCATTCACTTCTCCATTGTATCATAATCAGCCACACCCCAGCCTCAGAACCTGGTCCAACACTGCTCATTAAAAGGGGTGACACCATTGGATGTAACATCACATGGCTAGAGAGGACTTCTAGGACTAATAGGTGTAAAATATAAAAAATTATTTATTGGTGATAAATTAAAAACAGAATTAGTACTTCTTCTATAAAATAAAAAAAGTCTAAATAAAAAAGTCCAAATGTAAAGTCCAAAATTCAGCTAAACGCGTTTCACTCTGAGCGTCCTCAGTAGCTGTGTAATAGCCTCAGGAATCTTCTGCTTTATATATGTTCCAAAGTTCATATGGGTCCTCCATTTTTGGGTCACATGATGTTCTTTCTCTTTATTATGTGTGATAGAGAAACCTGTGGTGGAGGAACCCCCATTTGATAATAATACTGTCAATTCTTAAAAAACTTCAATTGAACGAAAATCATTGGTGATTCAATGACGTCATATTGCTAGACATACTATAACACCCGGATTCCTCCTATGCATACATGGGAGGGTCCGGGCGCCAGTCGGGGGAGTGGTTTCACCCAGTTTCCTGTCTGTGACGTCGGCGAAACCACTCCCCCGACCGGCGTCTGGACCCTCCCATGTATGCATGGGAGGAATCCGGGTATTATACATAGAAGGCTGTGATATTGTCAGGATTACTGTTTGATCCAGCACGTAGAACTGTACAGCACGAATGACAAATAAGTAACGTATTACCGGTCCTTAGAATGGCCGGATTTAACGTACAAAGAATAGTCAAAAATACTAGCCGAGGGGGCGGGGCCGGACCGCCGAGCTGGACGGTCACAAGAATGCACAGCTCTTGCAATTTTCTAAACTTTAAGCCTCTAAAACTATAAATTTCAACTTAAAAGCTGACCAACAGCAAAGACCATCGGCCCAAGGGAGGCACTGGATCCAGGGAGAGGCTGGCTCCTCGAGCTTCAGTCCCTTGGAGGAGGAATCTTTGAAGTCCCAGATGGGGCCTACTCCGGCGGTGAGCGGGGCGGACGGCCGCTGCCCCACTATCCCGCTTAACAATGCCTGACCTGAAGGCCCAGAGCAGAGTGGAACTGGCCCTGTCTCCCCCCCCTCTGGACCGGGGGGGTGATCCCGGTCCTTGCCCTGGGACACCGACCGCTGCAACACAATCAAGGCCCAGCAATGAGACCACCCAGAGCGGCGACCTCGGCACCTCGCCCAAAATGGTGGACGCCATGTGCGCTAACGGCAGAGGAAAGGAATACTCTTCCCCCACGCTCAAGCCTGACAGCACAGATTTAAGCACCAACTGGCCAGAAATCAACAACAAACAGCCACCTGCACGCATTGTAGCACCTCAGCAGACCAGAGGCCGGCGAAGCGAAGGGGGCACAACGAGCCAGCATATCCCCCGCGGAAAAGACACGAGACACTCCACGGACAAAACCCTACCTTCCAGCCGAGACGGAGAACTGGTCTCCAACGTAAAGAGCCGCACACCCCTACCGAAATGCCAGACAACCTTCCCCAACCTGACATGAACGGGCAGCAAGCACACCTGACAGCCGGCATGCAGCTTGAGAAGCACACAGAGGACACTGGCGGAGCAGAGAATCACCTGGACGTTTTGCCTATGAGCCCTGCTGAATTAAACCTGCACTATATGGGGACTACACAGGCGAGATCCAGCACCAATGATAAACTTACCTCACCAACCGACCGACCTAGAACTCGGCCACAAGGGCCCTCGAGGTGACCATTTTATCTCCCACTGTAAAGCTGCAGTTCTGTCCTTAACTCCTTAACTCTTTTTTACTCTTACCAGCCACCTGACAGGATAGAACTGTGGCCTGATGTCTCTATTATTATAAAATGATGCAGCTAAAAAATTAGACACCTACTAAATGTTGTGCCCTTAGTTTAACTCAGCTCAACCAGTGAGCCTCTGCTAAGCCTCAGTCAGCCACACCACTTTACAGTGTTTTATCTTATATTATTTAGTGAAAGTGCCCCAATCATTTCTGCAGCAGGGCCTGGTCTCCCAGTGGTAATAACAGCTTGTACTAAACTACATCTTCATTAGCCTATTATTATAGCCTGTAATAATGCAAGTCCTTAGCAAGCTATGTCTCAGATTTTACCAATGTGATGTACAACGCTTGGCCATTTCAACAAGTTATAATAAGCATGTATGTAAACGCTGGCGCAGCAATTCACTCTTGTTTTACATTTTCAACCAAAAAATGTGTGCAGTTTCTCCTGACATACTATGTTTATACTTTAAGCCTGTAATCATTTATAATGCAACTTAACTATATGTCATTGTCAAACAATGTTTGTTTCCGCTGCACTCCAAAAATAAAGTATATAAAAAAAAAAAAAAATACTAGCGAGGTCAGGGAACACAGAAAGGGACACAGCGATGAGGAAAGCCAGGAGTCAGGATACCAGAATATAGAGAAGTCAATAAACAAAGCCAAAGTCAAAAACCAGGTAGAAAACTATAAACAGGAACGCGCTCTCAGACAACCACAAGGGAAACCACGACAGGGCACTGAGCAGGCTGAGAACTGGGCCTAAATACCCCTCCTTTAGTTCTGATAGGCTGTAACCGGCCTTTGACCCCAAAGTCAGTTACCAGGTTTCATTTGCATAATTGCTGCTCAGCATTAACCCTTCTGTGGATTAGGTTGCTGCTCGGCACAACTTTTCCTGTGTGGACAGTAAATGTCATTAACCACTTTTCTATAAGCGGATGAATACATGACACCAGGTTTCATTTGCACAATTACTGCTCAGCATTAACCCTTCTGTGGATTAGGTTGCTGCTCGGCACAACTTTTCCTGTGTGGACAGTAAATGTCATTAACCACATTTCTATAAGCGGATGAATATGTGACATTACCCCCACCTGAAGAACGCCCACCGGGCGGACAGGACCAGGCTTGAGAGGAAATTTAGCTTGAAAAGCGCGGATCTTACGGCCCGCATGCAGGTCAGGTGCCGAAACCCAAGAACGATCAGCAGGACCGTAACCTTTCCAAACAACCAAGTACTGTAAAGTGCCCCGAGAAAACCTAGAATCCATGATAGAAGATACCTCATACTCTTCCTGACCACCCACCACCACCGGAGGGGGAGGAACACAAGGAACAGTATATATCTATTGCAGACAAGAGGTTTGAGTAAGGACACATGAAAAGTGTTGGGAATCCCTAAAGATGCAGGAAGAGCCAGAGAGTAAGACACTGGATTGATCCTACGAAGCACTCTATAGGGACCAAGGAATCTGGGGACAAACTTCATGCTAGGGACCTTAAGCTTGATGTTGCGAGATGACAACCAAACCCGGTCCCCCACTTGGTACACCGGCTTGGCACTCCTACGCTTATCAGCAAAATGTTTGAAGCGTTCAGCAGCAGCCCCTAGAGCAGTTTGAACCTTAACCCAGGTATCTTGAATGGAGGCCAGACGCTCATCCAGAGCAGGAATGGCAGTATCAGAAAATACCGCAGGGAGAACCGTAGGATGCCTACCATTATTGACAAAAAATGGACTGTGCCCAGAGGAGTCATGAACAGCATTGTTTCTAGCGAACTCGGCCCACGGGAGTAGTTCGGAGCAATTGTCTTGTGTGCTATTAATAAAACAACGCAAATAAACTTCTAATGACTGGTTAGCCCTCTCAGCTGTACCATTGGTCTGTGGATGGTAGGAGGAGGAGAAGGCGAGATCAATCCCCAATTGTTTACTGAACGCCCTCCAGAACCTGGACACAAACTGAGAGCCCCTATCAGACACAATATTGTGGAGGATGCCATGCAAACGGACAATTTCACGTATGAAAATTAGAACCAAATCTTGCGAAGATGGCAACTTCTTGAGAGGAATGAAGTGAGCCATCTTAGAAAATCGGTCTACAACCATGAGAATAGTAGTGAACCCAGCAGAGCTAGGAAGCTCAACAATGAAGTCCATGGATAAGTGGGACCATGGAATCTCAGGAACAGGAAGAGGCTGCAACAGGCCACAAGGAAGTGCATGAGTCATCTTAGAAACTGCACACACAGAACATGCCTGCACATACTCCTTTACATCTTTCCTGAGTGAATCCCACCAAAATGATCTAGTGATCGCTGCAGTGGACTTATTGATGCCCGGGTGTCCAGCAGTTATATTGTCATGGAACACTTTCATGATATTAACCCTTTCACATAGGGGAACGAACAGTTTATCACACGGTTTACCACTGGGCGCCTGAGGCTGGGCCTCCAGTATGGTGCCAAGCAGTGGAGAAGACAGTGAGAGGACAGTAGTAGCAATAATACACTCTGGTGGAATAATAGGAGATGTCACCTGTTCCGGAGCTGACTCATTATCAAATTGCCTGGACAAGGCATCAGCCTTGGTATTTTTAGAACCAGGTCTATAAGTAATGAGAAAGTTAAAACGTGAAAGGAACAGTGACCATCTAGCCTGTCTGGAAGACAAACGTTTGGCATCCCCTATATATGCCAGATTTTTGTGGTCGGTTATGATCAACAGGGGGTCCTTGGAACCCTCCAAAAGATGTCGCCACTCCTTGAGGGCAAGAATAATGGCCAACAGTTCTCTATTGCCAATATCATAGTTGTGCTCAGCAGGAGACATCTTTCTGGAGAAGTAGCCACAAGGATGCAATGGTGTTCCCTGGCTTTCTCTGAGAGAGAACAGCCCCTACCCCTGTCTCGGATGCATCAACCTCCAATATAAAAGGTTTACTAGTGTCGGGATGTTTTAGTATGTCCGCAGAGGCAAATCTTTGTTTAAGAGTCTCAAAAGCATTCACAGCCTCTTTGGACCATACCGTGCTACTAACCCCTTTGCGAGTCATATTTGTGATTGGGGCTATTACAGAAGAAAATCCCTTGATGAATCTTCTGTAATAGTTGGCAAAACCAATAAACCTTTGAATGGCTTTTAAACCAGAGGGTAATGGCCAGTGTAGTACAGCCTCTAGTTTTTTAGGATCCATTTGAAATCCCGATGCAGAGATGTTGTAACCCAAAAAGTGGACTTCAGGCTGGTCAAATATGCACTTTTCTAATTTACAATAAAGTTTATTTTTCAACAACGTCTGCAGAACCTGTTTCACATGGGAGTGGTGAGTTTGAAGATCAGAGGAATACACCAAAATATCGTCCAAATAAACTAAGACAAATGAGTAAATGAATTCCCTGAGTACATCATTTATAAAGTCTTGGAATACGGCCGGGGCGTTGCATAACCCAAATGGCATTACCAGATATTCATAGTGTCCACTACGGGTATTAAATGCCGTCTTCCACTCATGATTCTCTTTAATTCTAACCAAATTGTAAGCGCTCCTAAGGTCAAGCTTAGTAAATACTTTAGCTCCCTGAAGTCTATCGAACAATTCGGAAATGAGTGGGATAGGGTATGCATTTTTTACAGTGATTTTATTAAGTGCCCTGTAGTCTATGCAAGGGCGTAACTCACCACCCTTTTTCTCAACAAAAAAGAATCCTGCACCAGCTGGTGAGGATGACTTTCTTATGTGCCCTTTGCTCAAGGATTCTTTGATGTATTCCTCCATTATTTTACTCTCCTGGGGAGATAAGGCATAAACTGCCCCCTTAGGTGGCATAGCGCCTGGAAACAGGTTAATGGCACAGTCATATGCTCTGTGGGGAGGCAATACATCGGATTGAGACTTGTTAAACACCTCCTGAAGTTCTCGGTATTGTATGGGAACTCCAGGAGTTTGGGGAGTGGTAGTGGGAAGGTCAATAGTATCCAATCTCTTTAGTACTGGTTTTATACATCTCTCCATACACTCTTTACCCCATTCTAATATCTCCCCATTAGCCCAGTCAATATAGGGATTGTGCTTACTCAGCCACGGAAACCCTAATATGATAGGACATGATGGAGAAGTAATAACCTGAAACGTCATCTCCTCCCTATGGGAGGCCCCAATGGAGATCGTAATAGGGACAGTTTCGTGGGTTATAAGCGGTTGTGTGAGTGGTCTACCATCAATAGCCTCTACAGCTAGCGGCGTAGGTCTCTCCCTGACCGGTATCTCATTACCCCTAATAAACTGGACATCAATAAAATTTCCAGCACCACCTGAGTCCATTAGGGCACTGCAAGAAAACTTCTTGTTATCAAGGGAAATAGATACCTCAAGGAGGAATCTACTTTTGTTTTTGTTAGAGGACAACTCCATCACACCTAAGATCTGTCCCCTTAAGGTTCTTAGGTGCGGAAGTTTTCCGGACGCACTGGACAATTAGTTATCATATGTCCCTTTCTACCGCAATATAGGCATAACCCCTCCCTTCTCCTATACTGTTTTTCGGCCTCTGACAGTCTAGTGACCCCCAACTGCATAGGTTCGGGTTCGGACTGTACAGGGAGGTTAGACAAAACAGGTTTAGAGAATTGAGGTGCTAGGGACATAGCCGTACGTCTGGTCTTGCTTCTGGTGACTTCTCTGAGTCTTAACCTATTATCAATATGCATGACAAACGTAATAAATTCGTTAAGACTCTTAGGTAATTCTTTAGCGGCTATCTCATCTAGTATAGTCTCTGAGAGACCCTTTTTGAATGCTGAGATTAACCCATTGTTAGTCCAGTCTACCTCGGAAGCTAAGGTACGGAATTCAATAGCATAATCCGAGATAGACCGGTTACCTTGTCTGATGTGCATTAGGGCAGTGGAGGCGTCATCCTCTCTACCCAATGGCTCAAACGTGAGCTTGAATTCGGCAAGGAATTCCTGGTAATTATGAGCTATGCTCCGATTACTCTCCCACAACGGATTAGCCCAGGCAAGGGCCTTGCCCTTTAATTGATTCATTAGATAACCAATTCTTGCTCTGTCCGTGGGGAATGACCCTGGTGAGGCCTCAAAATGGTACTACACCTGATTAAGAAAACCCCTGCATTCCTGGATATTGCCATCAAACTGTAGGGATGGTGATAAGGATATGCTAGGAGTCCTATTAACAGTGGGTGAAGGTACACAGGGTAGAGGTGCTATAGGAGGAGACGCTGCAGGCTGCAGATGCTCCGTTCTAGCGAGAAGCGTACTTAAAGCCTGAGTGAATTGATCCATGCGGTGATCATTCTCCTCTAATTTCCTCTCGCAAGCAGCTATGTGATGACACAGTTCTACAGGATCTATGGCCCTGTCGTAATGTCAGGATTACTGTTTGATCCAGCATGTAGAACTGTACAGCACGAATGACAAATAAGTAACGTATTACCGGTCCTTAGAATGGCCGGATTTAACGTACAAAGAATAGTCAAAAATACTAGCCGAGGTCAGGGAACACAGAAAGGGACACAGCGATGAGGAAAGCCAGGAGTCAGGATACCAGAATATAGAGAAGTCAATAAACAAAGCCAAAGTCAAAAACCAGGTAGAAAACTATAAACAGGAACGCGCTCTCAGACAACCACAAGGGAAACCACGACAGGGCACTGAGCAGGCTGAGAACTGGGCCTAAATACCCCTCCTTTAGTTCTGATAGGCTGTAACCGGCCTTTGACCCCAAAGTCAGTTACCAGGTTTCATTTGCATAATTGCTGCTCAGCATTAACCCTTCTGTGGATTAGGTTGCTGCTCGGCACAACTTTTCCTGTGTGGACAGTAAATGTCATTAACCACTTTTCTATAAGCGGATGAATACATGACACCAGGTTTCATTTGCACAATTACTGCTCAGCATTAACCCTTCTGTGGATTAGGTTGCTGCTCGGCACAACTTTTCCTGTGTGGACAGTAAATGTCATTAACCACATTTCTATAAGCGGATGAATACGTGACAGATATGCGGCTCATTTTGCCGCATCACTTTCTTCATTAGGGAGTGACATGCCTGATTATCAACCATTATTCAAGCATATATATTACTTTGTGATGGCGGTGGAGGGCGGAAATGGCGGGCGGCATTATCCGTGCCGTCACTTCCGCCAACCACTGACCTTATTGGATGTCTAGCAATATGACATCATTGAATCACCAATCATTTTCATTCAATTTAAGTTTTTTAAGGATTGACAGTACCACTGGGCGACATCATTAGGTGCCATGGCCTAAGGTATCATTGTTACGCTGATGACACACTACTCTACTTCTCCTTTGCTCCAGATACCACAGACCAAACATGCCGCATCAACAGTTGTTTAGCAGATCTTATAGAATGGATGAATGCTAGTGGGCTTAAAGTGAACCTAGACAAAACAGAGTAACTATTGGTGAGGGGACCCCGTGGCAACAAAAATATCCCACGATCTACCAACTTGCCTGGTGCTTTAATTAGTTCGAAGGTACGAAACCTCGGAGTACTGATTGACTTTGGACTATCCTCTTTAATAAAATCTGCCTAACTTCATCTGAAAAACATAGCCAGGATACAACATTTAATTCCACCAGATGATATGCCAACATTAATCCATGCATTTGTATCCTCTTGGCTAGATTGCAGCAATGTACTTTACTTGGGCCTCCCAGAAAAAGAACTCCATCGCCTTCAGACTGTACAAAATGCAGCAGCTAGACTACTGACCAATCAAACTCACGTCTGCCACATAACACCTGTTCTCTACTCCCTGCATTGGCTTCCAATTAAATGGCGAACATATTTTAAAATTGACCAGCTTACCTTCAAAGCCTTAAACAATCAAGGCCCACAATACCTGAAAGAGCTCCTGATACCCTACATTCCATCCCGTTCACTTCGGTCAGCCAGCAAAACACTCCTGTCAGTGCCAAGAATAAAGACAGACTCAGGTTCCAGGGCATTCAGCCACGCTGCCCTTATCTTCTGGAACTCTTTACCGTGCACAGAGTGGCACCGTCGTTACAGACTTTAAAAAAAACAACTAAAGACCCACCTCTTCCATCAGGCATTCAGTCCATTCACCTGACCTGCAGAAACTCCTATCTTTTAGGTCTTTATGTTTGTATATTTGTAAAGTGCTTTGAGTCTCACAGGGAGAAAAGTGCTATGAAAATCACAAATTATTATTATTATTATTATTATTATCTGAATGGAGACTGAACTCTCATCATAGAGGTGCATTGATTCAATGCGCTGATTGGCGCAACATGGCATTTCCCATGCATGCACAATAGTCCAATTGGCAGGGAACATCATGATTGATGATCTCAGCCACTGGACACAGTGCCAGCTGCAGCGATTAAGAAAAGGTAAGTAAAAAATGTTTTACTCCACGCTAAGGGGATCTGGGACACTAAACAGGCACTCCAGCACTATAGTTTTAGGAATACATGTTTGTATTTCTAACTCTGTAGTATTCCTTTTAATTTGCTTGCATGGCGTAAAGCAACACAGGTAATTTTCCCCATATGAAAGTTCTCCAGCAGGAATCTGTATCTGGTCTGCCATAGAATGACAACAAACTGACATGCCTAGTTGGGTGGGTGTCATTGGCATGGCACTACACCCTTTTTTTTCCAGTCTGCCTTCTTGTGATAGATTGCTTTAAGTGCCTTGGCCAAATTTTGTTCTAGCCTGCTTTTACCTCCCAACATTGGGACTAGGCAATTGGGTTGGCATGGAGGGTGGAGGCTTAAAGGACCACTATAGTGCCAGGAAAACAAACTCATTTTCCTGGCAACATAGTGCCCTGAGGGTGCCCCCACCCTCAGGGTCCCACTCCAGCCGGGATGAAGGGGGTTAAACACTCACCTTTCTCCAGCGCCGGGCTCCCTCGGCGCTGGGGACTTTCCTCCTTCTTCGGTCGTCATCGGCCGAATGCGCATGCGCAGCAAGAGCCACACGTGCATTCAGCCAGAATGCTTTCCTATGGACGCTGGCGTATTCTCACTGTGAAAATCACAGTGAGAAGCACGCAAGCACCTCTAGCGGCTGTCAAGGAGTTTCTCTGAAACTGCTATGTTTACAGCAGGCAGGGTTAATCCTAGATGGACCTGGCACCCAGACCACTTCATTAAGCTGAAGTGGTCTGGGTGCCTATAGTGGTCCTTTAATGGGCAGGTCCCTCCAGAAAAGTTGCTCAGAAAGGGCAGCCTGGCTGTCTATCCCTACAGTCCTTCCTCCCTGTCCTGTCTGTTTTCTTTAAATTTGAGTTCATTTAATAACATCCTGTCATTTATATTTTGGGAATTGCCCAAAACAAAGATGGCCGACGCGTTAAGGGTAAACTGAGTCGAGCATGCTCAGTAGTAACGTGGAACCGGAGCAAGGAGGCGGGACTGGAAGTAGAAGCAGCTGCCTGCGAGAGCAGCAGAGGGGAGTCTGTAGACAGAGAGCATCGAGAGTCTGATCATCTCCTCGGTGTGTATTCTTCTCGTGACTTTTTATTTTTATTTTGTGTACTCAGCCATCACTATGTGTGTGACTGTGTTTGCTGTTACAATGTGTCTGTGTGTATGTGCTATAGAATGACAGAGAACACAGGATTCTATGTAGAATGATGTCTGTTCATAGGAGACATTCAGAGCAATGCTCATTCTTTCTCACTAGTTTTTTTGCTCTTTAGGTAGTTTTTATGGTCAGTGTGCTAGCCAGGCAAGCCCAGAGTTCCAGGATGTGCTCTGTATACACTGTGCTGGGCTATCTAAATGTTTGACACATTTGTGGGTGGAATTAAATTTCCATTTATTCACCGTTTGTCGTGTGTTTGATGACAAACGTTGAGCAAAAAAAGATATCCACTAATGTATATTACAAATCAAAAAGGACAACAGTGTGTTTGATCACATTCAATTCACAATTGCATTATTGATTGATTTAAAAAATAAAATAAAATTAAAAAGCAGCAGGTGGCTGGTTTTGTATACAGTATTTGTTATAATCTAAAGTAAAATAATGTATTCTAATGAATACATTACAACAAATATAAAGTTATTGTTTGTTTTATTTGTTAATGTTCTGCAACCAACTCCTGAAATATATTTAATAGTAACCATTGTGGTGAGAGAATGAGCAGTGTCAGTTTTGGGGATATTATTATTATTATTATTATTATTATTATTATTATTTGCATTTATATAGCACCAGCTATAGAAATGCCAATAATCAGTTTGTTATGGGTTTTGGGTTTTTTTTGGTTTCCTTTTCTTTTTTTTTTCTATCCCTTTTTAATTCATATTTAAAAAAACAATCCTCCCAAATCTTCAACTCTCATTGTCTGTATAATGATGTATATTCACGTTAATAGCTTGTAAGTGCAAATAAAATAACTGTTAATAAAAATATCCTTAGAATGTGAGAAGCTCTGCTGTAGTTGATGTTGATAATAACTTTATGCTATTTAGTGTATGCTTAAAGGTGCTGTCTCCTAAGTTTCACATAAACTTTGTCAAATCCCGGAATAGTTTGTATTTGCCACTTACAGGGTTATTTGCTAAAGTGAGAATTCGAAGTGAATTTAAATTTTAAGCCAGATGGAAATCATAGCTAACTTAGATCATTTTTTTCAGTTTGACTGTTATGACTTTAAATTTGAAATTCATTTTGAATTTTCGCTTTAGACTCTAATAATCCTGTTAGAGGAAATCATGTCCTACACACTTAGATGCTCTTCAACATGGAAAATAAAAAGGGTATGTAGTAGGTGATGGGGCAGCAAATAATGGCATGCGAGGCTGCTGGATACAAACTTGCTGGGGAGACCTCAGGATCTCCCTCGGAGCAGGCTTGACAAGTGGGACTTATTCAGATATTTCTCAATTCACTCATGGTAGTGAATTGGGAGGAAGTGATCTCAGACCTCTTCCTCGCAGTGCTTGAGAAGGAGAAATCGCACGGGAGGCTGAAGCCCACTTTTTAGAAAACATCCTGAATAGAACTGGGTTTAAAACTATCGTAGCCAGCAGACACAGTTTATCTATTTAACAGAAAGAGGCATGTGGCATTTTATGTCTCAGTTTGGAGAGGTTTATCTTTGGGGAGTTGCAGTTGCCCTTGGATTTCCACTGAGATATTAAAGCTGTTAGATCTCTCTGATATTGTCTTGAACATTTATAGAAGGTGGAAGAACACTTGGCATCTCTGAAGGCTTGATCCTTATTTAATTTCTGATTTATTGTAATCATAAATCACATAACAACTGAGGAGTCAATTCAAGGTACTAATTCACTCCTATAAAGCACTGAACAATTCTAGCCCCTCTTATATCTACTCACAGATCCATTGGTATGTCCCTTCTCGGCCTCTCCACTCTGCCCATGACCACCTCCTGTCCGTTGTCCGCACCCGTACGGCCAACTCACGCTTGCAGGACTTTTCACGTTCGGCTCCCTTCCTATGGAATAGCCTGCCTACCGCCATCAGACTCTCCCCTAGTCTTGCATCTTTTAAGAAGTGCCTTAAAACCCATCGCTTTAGGAAAGCTTACAGCCTCCCAGACTAACCTCTACCTCACATACCTGTCTCTTGCTCTCTCCTAAAGGGCAGCCCACCTTATTTGACTGCAAATACCTGTCCTAATGTGTTTTACACCCCACCTCTTATAGAATGTAAGCTCGATTGAGCAGGGTCCTCTTCAACCTATTGTTCCCATACGTTCTTTGTAATTGTCCTATTTATAGTTAAATCATAATATTGTAAAGCGCTGCGGAATCTGTTGGCGCTATATAAATGGTCATAATAATATCTTAATGGGCACCGGTAATGCCCCAAACCTACTTTTTCTCTTTTAAAATGGCTTAAAATGTAATTTATACATAGTGGTAGCAGTTTTGCAAGCAGATCTATAGATGGGAGGGGGAAAAAAAACACTACTTAAAAATAGGCTTTTTTTTTTTACCTGTCAATCAATTATTCGGCATAGACTGAATGCCAAAATTTTGATTAATAGCATAGGCGGTCCTTCTGCTCTCCATGCATAGGGAGTATAGAAACGACGTGAGTGACATCACTTTGTTCAGACGCCAGCATTCTGCCATCATTAAGAAGGTTTGCCCTGCTTGTGGTCGAATCCGTGATGAACGTAGGAGGAATGATGGCAGACCAGAGGTGGGTATTACAAAAGTGTAGCACCCACCTCTATAATGAGATTTCAGTAGGGGAGCAGAGGGTCGGGTAAGTGGTAGCAGGTTCCATTTAAAATTCTGGGCTAATGAGATAATGTGTTCTGGAAAGAAAACTGTTCATTGAAAAGCTACACTGACGCACCCCTTACCGTGGTAAAAAAGTTTGACTACAGGTACTTGCAATGGGATGGCCAAAGTACTCCTGCCATCAGAACCACTACAGTGGTTATCTAGGCAGGTGAATTTTAACTGCTATATAAAGACATGAACATGGAAAGGGGTAGTGGAGGTGCCTGACTATAATTTGATAATTCCTCCCCCCCACCCCCCATCCCAATCAAATCGTAGTTCAAGCTTTAGCCAGATTATTATTATTATTATTGCCATTTATATAGCGCCAACAGATTCTGTAGCGCTTTACAATATTATGAGAGGGGGATTTAACTATAAATAGGACAATTACAAAAAACTTATGGTAACAATAGGTTGAAGAGGACCCTGCTCAATCGAGCTTACATTCTATAAGAGGTGGGGTGTAAAACATATTAGGACAGGCATTTGCAGTCAAATAAGGTGGGCTGCCCTTTAGGAGAGAGCAAGAGACAGGTATGTGAGGTAGAGGTTAGTCTTGGAGGCCATAAGCTTTCCTAAAGAGATGGGTTTTAAGGCACTTCTTAAAAGATGCAAGACTAGGGGAGAGTCTGATGGCGGTAGGCAGGCTATTCCATAGGAAGGGAGCCGCCCGCAAGAAGTCCTGCAAGCGTGAGTTGGCCGTACGGGTGCGGACAACGGACAGGAGGTGGTCACGGGCAGAGCGGAGAGACCGAGCAGGGACATACCTATGGATCTGTGAGGAGATGTATAAGAGGGGCTAGAGTTGTTCAGTGCTTTATAGGTGTGAATTAGTACCTTGAATTGACTCCTATAGCATACAGGAAGCCAATGTAAGGACTGGCAGAGGGGTGAGGTGTGAGAGAACAGACTAGAGAGGAAAATCAGTCTGGCATCAGCATTCGTTACGGACTGTAGCGGTGCAGTACGGCTTTTGGGAAGACCAATCAGGAGAGGGCTACAATAATCCATGCAGGAAATTTACTAGAGCATGGACATGCTCATTGGTAGCATCTTGTGTAAGAAAAGGCTGGATGCAGGCTGTGTTTTTAAGATGGAATCTACAGGATTTGGCAACATACTGGATGTGAGGCTCAAAGGTGAGGCCAGAATCTAGTACGACACCAAGACAGCGCGCTTGCAAGGATGGACTGATGTGGGTACCACAAACTTGAAGGGAGAGCGAAAGAGGAGGATCAGTATTAGGAGGAGGAATTGCCGTGCTTGTACTTGCTCTCTCACAAGCTGCATTTTGTCAGAGCCTGGAAGAGTAAACTTTTACCCCTCGATTCTTTTCATACACATCTGTCTGTTCAGACTAGTAGCTGAATATCAATAAGATAGGGGAAGGAAAAACCTAGCATAAAGTTTAAAAATACATGCAGGGCTTTATTCCATAAACACTGATTTTTAGTGAGTTAACAACCAGTTGACAAATTTAGGCTAGAATAGGTCAAATTAAATTTCCAGCTAGGCTGTAGTCACAGCTTGACTATTGTAGCCTATATTTAGCAATTTGGTTTTCAATTCACGTTATTTCAATGTTTAGTGAATAAACCCCCCCCTAGTAACCTACAAAATCTCAGGGCTGCTTACATTTATCTTCATCGCTTTAGCCATTTCTTTGTGTGTGAAATCTTAATTACTGTTATTGCTTAAATTAACATTCCAGGGCTGAAACCTAGGGTGACATAAGACACTAACATTACACAAGTCAACTTGCTATTGTCATGTCTTCACCTCCTGAGGCAAAAAGTAATGTTTTGAGAGCAACACATTGTTCTCATTCTGTCAGCTATTAAATGCTGGATATGTACTGTATGTGTCCTCTTCTGAGGTGGAGTTTTTCTTGTCTTCTTAATCCACGCAGTGACCATCATATGAAATGTATGTCTTTTGTGGTCTTGGTACAGGGAGGCCCACAAAATTGTGAGCAATGATCTTGGCACAATAGTGAGCATGGGATATTTTCTTATCTTAAAGTAAACCTATAGTCCCAAAAATAATTAGTTCTTTTGGGACTGTAGATTCTCCTATGTTATCACTGATCACCCCCGTTTGCTGTGTAAAATCATGTTAAAATAAATGTACTCATCTGGGACTACGCCAACGCAGCCTCCAGCATACAAGCTGAGATCACCCACTATCTCCTCCAATCCATTGTACAGAGCAGGAATGGATTGTAAGTAGGCATGTGCAGCCAAACACAGCAGTGCTCCAATTAAATGCTGCCAGCAGTTTCACTTGGTTCTGGAGGATCAAGTGCCTCTAAAGGCTGTGAGGAAGAAAGCCAATAGAGGTGTTCAAAATAACAGGATCACTGCACACAGACCACTTCATCTTAACCCTGCAATGTTAATTATTGCAGTTTTTGAGAAACTGTAGTAATTACATTGCAGGGCTAAGACTGCCTCTAGTGGCTGTCAGACAACCACTAAAGGCACTTCCTGCTTCCTTGGCGACTTTTGGTCGCCTGACGCTGGACATTCTCACACTCTGCAACAAGCGTCACTTAAATCCCAATAGGAAAGCATTGCATCAATGCTTCCCATGGTGAGGGCCTAATGTGCTCGCAACGCACGCGCATTAGCGCCTACCCCGACTTCAGATTAGGTGGAGCGCCAAGGGACATTAATGTTAAAGTCTGGTTTATTAACTACTCCTGGAGGGGGTGTTAGAGGAAAGTATAGTCCTAGGAATACATCCTTTTAAGATGAATTGGTCCTTTTGAAAGAAATATTGTTATGCCTAATGACTGAGGTCTTGCTGTACCTTCAGTTAGTCTGCCAAGTGTAGAAGATGCATTACAAATACAACTGCCAGAGTGTTTGAATGCATTGTTTAAATTTGTATTTTATTTAGAACTCAAATTCCAAAAAAGATACAATTCATCTCCTAGAGAGTTTGTTTGCAACCCTGGTGTGCAAAACCATTTGCTATTATATGCTGGCTCTTGCTTTGATGGCAAAGGTACAATTAAAACAAGATTTTAAATAGAAATTTGGTTTAAAAACGAGTTGCCCATTGTGAAAACAATTTAAAAAACAAGGGATATAGGCGCTCGCTATATTATAATGCAGGCTGCGGTATACAATGCAAGGATTCCCAAAAACCTTGTGTGGTGAATAGACCAAAATAGAGTGTGGCGTATACTGCGCCTTAAAGTTCATACATACAGGGGGGGGGAAAAAAGGAAGGAAGACAAATAATAGTGCAATACAATATGATACAATCAAAATGATATAAGTAGTCGCTATAAGAAAACCACTCGCATATACTAGAGCTAATTAGAGCTCTGCTGTATAGCGCATGGACGGTACAATCACCGCCTAAGGTTGAAGTGCTGATGGTCCTCCAGGTGCCAATGATGTATATTAGAAGAACAAAATAAACTCCAATGGTGCAGTAAGTACTAGTATATAAAATAAATAAAATGAAGAAATGTACTTACATTCTTTAGAGCAAGACTTGCTCTAGTTAAAACAGCATGGGTGGTATAATCCCCACCTAAGGATGTAGATGGTGTCAGGAATCAAGCCAAATATTTACACTTTTGAAAAAGCCCTTTGGACGGGCGAAATGCGTCAAGTGGGACTTATTCTTTTATTTTGCATTTACTTTATTGTTAATATACCTTTCTAATAACTAGTTACTTCTTTATAGTACTATTTATTTATTTATTTATTTATTCACTTTTTGGCTTGATTCCTGACACCATCTACATCCTTAGGTGGGTATTATACCACCCATGCTGTTTTAACTAGAGCAAGTCTTGCTCTAGAGAATGTAAGTACATTTCTTCTTTTTATTTATTTTATATACTAGTACTTACTGCACCATTGGAGTTTTCTTTTGTTCTACTTCCTCCTATATATATCATTGGCACCTGGAGGACCATTAACACTTCAACCACCATACATCCTTAGACGGGGATTGTACCGTCCATGCGCTATACAGCAGAGCTCTAATTATCTCTAGTATATGTGAGTGGTTTTCTTATAGCGACTACTTATATCATTTTGATTGTATCATATTGTATTGCACTATTATTTGTCTTCCTTCTTTTTTTTCCTGAGATTTACTACATTTCCCCGAAGGTCTATGTATGAACGAACTTTAAGGAGCAGTATACTCCACACTCTATCATTGTAAAAAAAAAAAAAAAAAAAAGACCTTCAAAGCTAGTTAATTCCTATGACCTCTCTAGTCTCTAATTAACCTATTATAAAATTGCTTTTCTGTTTGCAAGTAAACAAATTGTAGTACATACATTTTTATTTGCTTATCTTTATATTAATTTGATCCTGTCTGTCTCCATGTCTGTTTGTTTTCCAGAGGGAAAAAATGTTGAGATTTCTTGTAACAAGTATGTTACATTTTTTAAACAAAACAGTGCCAGTCATTATGGTTTAATTATAGTGTCAACAATGCAGATCTTTTCAAGAATGTTAAACTTGTGTGTGGTTTGTCTTCTGGAAGTTTGTTTCCAGAGTTGCATTCTGAAAAGGCAGTATGGTGCTCGTAGTTTTTTTTTTTTTCTCTCCCTTAGAGGCTGTCATACAACCTATAAAGAAATGTCCACGTTAAAGGGTTACTCCAAGAAAAAAAAAAAAAAAAGTTTTATTAAGAAATAAGGATAAGTTTACCTGTGATCCTAGGTCCAGGCCAAGTTCTTCCTGCAGCCCGATCCTCATCTGGTGACATCACTCCCCTCACTGCAGGGAGAGGGATGTCAGCAAGATTTTGGGCAGCACAGATGAGTGTCTATACAGCCCTTGGTCATCTGTCACAAGCGTTTTGTGTGCTGATGACAGATGCCAAACTTGCACAGAATTCATATTGGCGAGTACCATGACCACCTCAGTGATTTGAATTGTTGTGGTGCTTGTAGTCTGTATGTGCAGAGTTTCAAAATGAAACTTGCACATTGCTGCCCGAAGAGTTGGTTCACATCTGGCAATGTCTTTCTGGGCTGGCTAATGACACTGCCAGATGTGAACCAACTCTTCGGGCAGCAATGTGCATTAATGCTGTATGTGCAAAGTTTCATATTGAAACTCTGCACATACAGACTACAAGCACCATAACAATTCAATTCACTGACTTGGTCATGGTACTTGTAGTAACCCTTTTTAATACATTACATTGAATGCATGAAGATGTTGAACACTGTTAATGCTTCTCAAAAAGAATTATTGGATTCAGTTGGATCTGATTGATGGAATGCGGTGATTGGTGTGCATATGCGTTAGGATTAGAATGTTCGCGCTGAATTACAGGTAAGTTTAATGGCAATGTTTTATTATTATCATCAAAAGGAGGTGGACCATAATCCACAGCATAAGAGCAGACTAAAGCTAATTAAAGATAATTATATTTAATTTTCACCTTTGGGTGTTTCCATAATTAAAATTAAAGCCAGTTTAGCTAGAGGTGTACAACTCTCTCTCTTCCTCTCCCTTGTAAATGTGACATTTATAAGCTGGCAATAAAGGTAGAAAGAAAAAAAAAAAAGTAGGTGTTAGTTGGCTTTGAGGTTTTTTTTTTTTTTTAATTTATTTTTTTATGCTTTATCCAGATAAGAGATTTTTTAACATACCCATATTGTAATCACATAGTCTGATAAAGTGTGAAAATTAGGTTTATTTATCAAATGGCAATTTTTGGTGAATTGAAAACAGAATTACAGAATTTATGCACAATGGCAAAGCTCTCATAAGTACCACCACAAAAGGGGAAAAAATTGGAGTTGTTGTCCCCCAGCCCGGTAGGTAACCAGGGGCTGAAGGGCAACAGCACCAATCTCACCTGTAGTTCTCCCTAAGGTAAGGGAACAACCCTGCTAAACAATCTTGTGATCACACAATAGCAAAGCTGTGTATACTATATAGTTGAGCTTCCTGATCGGCTTCTTTAGCCTAAATTTCTTTTTTGGTTTACTAACATTTTGGTGTTTAGATGGCTTTGTTTACAGAAGTGGATCTGTGGTCCAGGTGTACTTTTCTATTCAACAGAATTATTACCACTGAAGCAATTGATAAAATGTAGAGGAGAGTTAGCAAGTAAGGCAAAGGATGTGGAGGTGCAACATATCAAATGGTCAAATCATTTTATAGGAGTGGTCTGGGTGAAGTGCTCCTGTCCCCCTTACCCGTGCAGTATTAAGTTCACCTCTATTGGCGCTTTCTGAGCATGCACATTAGATCTTCCTTTGGTGTGACGTTGTAGGAGTAGGAGATTAAGCCAGTGCAGAGGGAGCCTTGGCGCAGGAAAGAGGTAAGGGTTTAAATCCCATTCATGTTTTCGGGGGGGGGGGGCTGGGGGGAGCTGAGATCTAGTATGTTAAGGAATACAGGTTTGTATTCCTAACAAAAACAGGTTTACGTTACTTTAATTTTAGAGTGTAAATAGTGGTGTGGCTACCGGTGGGGCTGTTCTTAGACATTTTTAGGTGACATATTAATCACAATTTCTTCAACAGGTTTATTCACCAAAGTAAGAGTTGCCAGGATTTCAAATGTAAGGTCAAAATAGCCAAACTGCAAAAAAAAAAATAATACTGTGCCTTAAAGACATTACCGTGAGTATTATTGCTGTGGAGCTCAGCTAAACACATTTAGACACTTACAATATGGAGTTCCTCGAAAAGCGGGACAACAGGATAGACAAGAGGGGCAAAATTATTTGAAACAAAAATAAGGATTGTCCCACCTAAATAGGGATACTTGGGAAGTATACCACTGGGCCACTAACATACATTAGCTGTGGGCTGCAGCCTCCCACTATTCTGTGGATTAAAATAGCTGAAGGTGCATTGTAAGTCTGTTAGTAAAGTACTGCAGAATTTAGGCAACATTCAAGATTTGTGTAGGGGCTTGCTAGTGCAACATTGCATGGAATTGTGTATTGGCTGGTGTCTACGAAACTTAAAGTCCAGATCTGGACTAGACCACTTTGTAGGCTGTTGTATCTAGGGCACACCGTCTGATGAATAAATATAAAAATGTTTTTTTCCTCTTCCAAAGCTGGCTCTGCTGGGACTGAATTGTATTGTGATTCTATACTGTTAGGAATGCAAATATGTATTCCTAACGCTATAGTACCCTCTGGTTCCCCACGCCTTCCTTGTGGCGCACCCCTACCCCCCGCTTGCACACAAAGGGTTATATAACCCTTTAATCAATTAACCAATTCCTTGGGTCATGCTCTGCCTCCTATGATGTTATCTGACGGGACTTAACGCGCATGCACAGCAAGTGCCACGAGCGCATTAGGCCTTCTCCATAGGGATTACCTCCTATGGGAATTTCACTGACGTTGAATGTTCTCTGGGACACTGCACCAGACCACTTCAATGTGCTGAAGTCGTCTGGGTGCTTATAGTGTCCCTTTAAACCCTTAGTATACATTTTTAAAAGAAAAAAGTGCGTTACATGGCAAGAAAGATTATTAGAAGTTATAGATGATTTTCAATGGTTTAATCAACGGAGAGAAGCAACTGAGCCCTTTAAGGAGCAAATTTAAAGTTTGTTATATAAAAGTAACAATAGTGAGATGTAAAATGAGCTTCTTATTGAAAAGAAAAGTGGATTAATACCAAGGCAGTATCCTGTGGCAAAACCAATTATGATGAGGCTAGTGTCAAGATTGATTTGCTCTTTCAGGAAACTAATTTTCGTCCAGGTTTCATTCAATGCGCGAACTTTACATAAGCTATATCTCTGGGGGGGAAAATGCATTCGACTTACCGATAAAACTGTATTTGATGCATCATGATTAAGCATACTTATAAATAGCAACGTTTTCAGGCCTCGTCCTTGAAACAGATATTACTAAGAAATAAAGCTGTCTTAAAAGTGGTGGCATCTAATTTCCCTATCTTTATAGGAAAATTCTAAAGCACTTAAAGAAGGTGGTCAGGGACTTAACTTGACACGGCATACACGCATTCCTATTCCCTATGGCACAGTTAATGTTTGTGGTCTTGTTAGCATTTACTATATTGTCTTAAATGAATAACTTCCATACAGTTTAATGATTGACACTACGACAAATCAAAATTGTAAAGTAGGTGCCTTTCACCTCTCTAACATGGCCCAGTTCACTTCAACCAGAAATAGTCACTCCTCAATGTGGTGGAATCTCTTTACATTTGTGTGCATATGAAGTGTGTCCATCCTGGACTTCAATTGTGCAATTATCTATATACCATTCATATTGAAATTGACTTTGGTGGCTGTACAGCTTGTATAAAGCTGGGTTCCATGCATATTAAAGACTATCATGACTATTATTTCAAGTCAAGAGTTATGACTGCTGTAATAGAATTTTATTTTTTGGGTGGGGGGGTTTGGCTCCAGGGCACATACCCAAGTTATTCACTAAATTGAGAATTGTCGGAAATTCAAAGAGCGCTTAAAAATTTAGACCAAAATATAATGTAAATATTAAATGAATTCCAGGGAATTCTCACTTTAGTAAATAACCTGAAAAATTTGGAATACTTATTTTGCATGCTTCAAAAAAAAATGGCTTGGAGCATCCTTTCAATAAAGAAGCTCCTGCTAGAACGTTAGTGGTGAGCAGTAGCTAGTTTTTAGAACCATGGCTTTTTGTATCTACTTCCATGATTTCTGTATGTGGACTGACCACGGAACACCATCTGTTTAATGTCATTGATTCCAAAGATGTGCTAGAAATGTTAACACCTATATGAAGTAAATGGTCTCTGATACAGTGTCACTCTTTGCTTCCTTTTTATAATGAAGATGAAGACTGCTCATATTGGCCTTTTCTCTATAATATGAAGACCCTGTTCTCTCCTTGGGCTTGTTCACGTTGCTAATGGCATCGGAATCCATGCTCCCTGCTCAAGCCAAGACTCAACAAACAAAGGGACGGAGGCAAATCCATCATGACAAGCCGGTGACCGCCGACAATGAGGGAGATGTATCTTTTGTCTTTGAAGCGGATGAGGCATGGAAAGATTTTCACAGTTCACTTCTTCATTTTTATGAAGTGGGAGAGCTCTGTGATGTCACCCTTAAGGTAAACATTTATTTTTCATTTTAAATTCCAGCTGTCATTTACCGATTTATTAAATTTTAAGTGTTGTACAATTTATCACTATTTGCCGTCTGTCTTTGCTGCCCAATTGTTCATAGGGTACTGCAAATGCTTCTGTTTTTACCAAACCCAAACAAATTCATAATAAACATGGAATAACCCAAAGACTTTATGTACTAGAACTACAGGTGGTCCTCACTTTGAGACCTACCTGCTTTACAACTGCTCGGATTTGTGACCAGCTCTCTAGCGTGGGGACTTAATGGATTCCCCACGTTAGAAAGCTATCTATGTTTTGGGAATTTTCCCCGCACATAGATTCGCGGGATTCAAAGCGCTAGTGAACTGGTCTATGATCAGGGGAGTCCTAAGAACAGAACTTGGTCGGTGAGTGAGGACTGGCTGTACTACAGTGCACTATACTGGTTGTGGTGCTTAGAAACTTGCCTTTTAAGTAAAGTCAGAAGGAAAAGTGGTTTGACCTGAGGAACGCTGGTTAATGTTGACAGAAGAGTATACATCTGTATTTATTAATGTATAACTGCCATATTTGGGCAAAAAGCTAAAGGTTGTGTGATGTTGGGTTTCCACATTTACTGCCCCTTATTTAAGAATGGAAAAAAAAACATTTACAAGTTAGGAAGACCTTTTATACGAAGTAAAATGTAATTTTATACAACTTTCTATTAGGCAGTTACTGTCTACTATTGCTAGAAAGGCTCATTATACTTCTTACATGAGATTATGAGTGCTTATTTATAGTTTACGCTGCATGCCATCCCTTTGTTCATTCATTGTTTTGTACATATGCAGTATAAATCCCCTGCAATTGGATTTTTAGCTACCCATGTCCAGATAGAGCTGATATATTTATCTATTCCCCCCCGCCCCATGCCAATGTGAGTGAACATGTGGTATTTGACTAAAGATTGTCATCATTCTTAGTATTTTTAAAATATTTTTCTTTTAGATGTAATTGCACAATGTTCATTTTGTATTTTATTATTAACCCCAATAAAGATTGTTGTTGTTGTTGTTGTTGATGTTGTTGTTGTTAAATGCCTTATTATTTACAGATAAAAAGTAGAATTAATGGTAGAATATACTATGTTTTTTTTTTTTATTTGCTAGTAAATGCTATTTGTATTACTTTAGTTTCTTTCATGCAAAGGTAAAAGCCAGAAAAATCTAATTTTTGTTTGGCTCTTGACTTTATATTACTTTCTAGGTACATTTGCAAACCCCAATTTATGTTATATGCTATATTATTATTACTTTGGAAAAAACTCTGGTATTCAAAGGTAGAATGTTAAAATCACACTTCCCCCAAAAAAAAAGCTTACATTTTTAAGTAAATGCATCAATAATGTCTCCTGAAAAGATAGGGGATTTTGTTTATGGCTTTGATGTAGTCCAGATTTCAGTTGTCTGTTTGAGTGGGATAGCAATTCAGATTGCTGGCTCACAAAAGAATGTGAAGTCTTCAAATATTGCATTGTAAGTGTCTGCCCACCTTGTTACACTCTTGGAAAATGGAATTAACGCATCGAAAGGACAGAGAGATAAAGGCATTAGAGCTTTTAGCCTTCCTTCAAGGGAATGAAACAGACAGGCTAGGTAAGTATGCCTTGCGCTGCCTATAGGCACACTTCCTAATGACTTTTAGTATTGGGGTAGTCTCCTGACTCTGTGTCTGTGTATGTGTGAGTTAGTTTTTTTTCTTTTTTTTGATAGGACAGGCTTTGCAGTAAAATTAATTCTTGTAAAGAAATTGACTTGTTTGTTATAGTCATACCGTTATGATCCCAGAATAGAGACATACAGTGGGTGAGATTTATCAGATTTAGAAGTGTTCCATTCTAAACCTTGGTCTAAAGTTCTAAAAGTGGGACAACCACCATGGAACCAGCAAACCATTCTATTGCTTACTCATCTCACTCCCCACCTCCCCCCCTTTTTTAAATCCCCTTGTCTGTACGCGCAGGAGTTCAGCAGATAAAATGTCCTTTCGTCTATTCATGTGTTGGCATTCTGACTGTTAAAATGTGTGATTATATTTCTTACCTTGAAGCAGATCATGTCAAGAATATATCAGAACTGGGTTCTTCTTTATTTTTCTAATATCATTTGATCTTCTTTTCCTATGCTGGTGTAAACATGTCCTGAATACAGTGCCTGCTCGTACACTGATAAACACCCCATGTATTAAGTGCTAATGTGTGGGCAGGTGCAGACTTCACTTAATATCTCTTGAGCTGTAAAATTCATTGTTGCGTCACTATATAAGCAGATATAAATAAATAAATAATGCTGTGGTTCTTGGAGTAGTCCTCAAGGACTGTTAAAAGTCCAGCTTTCATTTTATGTCAAAGATGCTATTCATTGGGGGGCATTTAAGGCAAAGTTTGCAGGGATGGTGGGGGACTATATAACCAATACTGTGATTCCTAAAAGTTAAAAATGAGGGTTAGATAAAGGAAGGAAAGCACTTCAAATTGTTAGATGCCAAATAAATCAACAGGGACTTCAATGTCAACACCTCTGCACATTCAATGGTCTGTATTTTTATATTTTTATTTCATTAGTCTAGTACGATATCAGTACAGCCACTATGAGAGTGCTCAGGCAAATAGACAAATAATAAATTACTACTCCACTGCCTAAATTAAAAACAATCACTATTAAGTAATTATATGCCAATTTTAAACATGCATGCATTTAGACATTTTATTCCATCTTGGGAAAGCTCTTGTCTGCTGCCTCTGCAATCCCTCACCTTTTTCCCAGCCCAGACTTTCTGTGGCTGTCCAATCAGACTTCCCAATGACTTCAATGAGAAGTCTTTGCAAGGCAGGTGCTCTGGGCAATTGTTGCTTCTCGAGTTTAGCTCCACTGAGCTAACCAAACCAGGAAGTAAAAGGACCGATTGTCTGACAGCAATGGGGGGTGTAACCAGGCTTATATATAAAATTTCTATTGAAATCTGCACTTTTTGTAAAATAGAAAAAAGGGACGTCCTCTTCCAAGTTGCACTTCAGGAAGCTATAAAGTGCTTTCGGTATTTGGAGTGTTCCTTCATAAGTTTCAGGTGGTGTTGAGTCTGGTGCCAGGAGTCTTCATGATGGTTCAGGGAAACATTTGATCCAGGACATGGCCGCTATGTGTGGACATGCGATTCCTGTTAACTGTAGCTTTAGAATGTCTGGATGGGAGATGTATTACTTTGAGCTACTTATATTGTAGGATTCGAGGCGTATCTAGGGTCTCCAGCGCCCTTGACAAGGAACTATATCCGCGCCCCCCACCCCATCATGAAAAAACTAAAACTTTTTTTTTTTTTTGATCAATGTTTTCCACCATGTAAAGGGAAGTTAAATAAATAAATCTAGCATTATATTTTGTTTCCTCATCCTCCCTGTCCCATAAAAAGTGAATAAAGAGGAATTGAAAGTTCCTGAGGTTTCTTAGGAACAGAGTTCTGCCAGTCACCCAAAGCCCCTCCCCTCTGTATGAAACCGCTACAAGGAGAACTCCATCAGCCAGTGCTCATGAAATCGCAAATCTTCTTATACAATGCTTTCCCCATAATTCCAATGATAGGGTTTGCTCTAATGCAGCATTTCCCAAACCAGTCCTCAAGACCCAACAACAGTCCAGGTTTTGTTAGTATCTCCATTGGAATAAAACAGGGAAATACATAAATCCTGGACTTTTGGTGGGCCACGAGGACTGGTTTGGGAACCACTGCTCTAATGAATCTGTTATCAGCTTTAAATCATAAATATATATTTACACTTTGGTGGTGATGGTAATGTGCCAGTGGAATGCTTGTCACCATATTGCAAGACTAACACAGGCACATCACACCTTTTTGCAAGACTAACACAGGGGACATCACACCATATTAGTGCCGAAACCAGGGGGCTGGCTGCACTCACTTGAACATGCATAAATAGGGTGCTGCCGTGAGCCAATTTATACAATAAAAAAGAGAAAATCCTTCTGTGCTGACAGATTTTGTTTTAAAACATTTTTTTAAACACCTAATCTAGGCAAAAGATAATGCTTAGATTAGGTGTTTTTAAAAAACAAAAACAAACTAAACCCATGATTTTTTGCCTAGATGAACACTTACACACACTGAAAAATATAGACACACACAGACATGCAGGTGGGCTAACAGGTGTTCTATCAGTAGGGGGCCCAGTGCCGCTGCCCCGTTTGACTCATGTTAAAGACGGCCCTGCTCCCTCCCCTCATGTCCCCCACCCATCTGCGTCTCTCTCTCTCCCCCTCATGTACCCCACCCATCCGTGTCTCTCTCCCGCCTCATATCCCCCACCCATCCGTGTCTCTCTCTCGCCTCGTGTCCCCCACCCATCCGTGTCTCTCTCTCGCCTCGTGTCCCCCACCCATCCGTGTCTCTCTCCCCATGTCTCTCTCTCTCTCCCATGCCCCATCCCATGTCTCTCTCTCTCTCCCATGCCCCATCCCATGTCTATCTCTCTCCCTCATGCCCCCTCCCATGTCTCTCTCTCCCTCATGCCTCCCTCCCATGTCTCTCTCTCTCTCTCCCTCATGCCTCCCTCCCATGTCTCTCTCTCTCCCCATGTCCCCATCCCATGTCTCTCTCCCTGTCCTTATCCCATGCTCCTTCTCTCCCCGTGGTCCCCATCCCATAAGTTCCTCTCTCCTGTCCTATCCTATGTCTCTCTCCTCATGCCTCCCATGTTCTCTCCTCATGTCCCTAATCCAATGCTCTCTCTTCTCTCCCGTGGTTCCTATATCCCATGCTCCTCTCTCTCTCCCTCGCGGTCCCTCTATCCCATGCTCCCTTCTCTCCCCAGGTCCCTATCCCATGCCTCTCTGTGGTCTCCTATCCTATGTCTCTCTCCCGTGTTCCCATCCCATGTCTCTTCTCTCCCTGTGGTCCCTATCCTATGTCTTCTTCTCCCCCTCGTGGTTCCTCTATCCCATGTCTTCTCTTCTCTCCCCTGTCCTTCTCATCCTATATGCCTCTCTCTCTCTCCCTGTGGTCCCATCCTATGTTCTCTTCTCCCTCTTGTCCCTATCCTATGTCTTCTCTCCCCTGTGGTCCCCATCCCATGTCTCTCCCGTCCCTATCCTATGTCTCTCTTCTCTCTCCCCTCGGTGGTTCCCATCCTATTGCTCCCTTCTCTCCCTGTCCCTCACGAACCATAGTCTCTCTCCCCTGCGTCTCATCCCATGTCTCTCTCCCCTGTGGTCCCTATCCCATGTCTTCTTTCTCCCTTGTCCTCATCCTATGTCTCCTCTCCCCCGCGGTTCCTCATCCCATGTCTCCTACACAACACACTTGCAAAAAGGCAATTAAAGTGGCTAAACTAGAAAATGAGAAATTGATAGCTAAAGAATGCAAAACCAACCCCCAAATTTTTTTCAAGTACATCAATTCTAAAAAAACAAAAAATGAAAGTGTAGGTACACTTGAAACAGAGTTGGGTTTATTAGCTAATGAAGACCAGGAAAAAGCAGAAATTTTAAATAACTATTTTTCTTCAGTATATATTAATGGGGATCCTATGGCAAGAGATATGCAAATGTTTGCTGCAAAAAACTTGCAAATAACTTGTGACTGGATAACTCGAGACAAGGTGCTACAGCTATTAAAGAAAATTAATGTAAATAAAGCTCCGGGGCCTGACTGTATTCACCCACGAGTACTTAAGGAGCTAAGTGGGGAAATAAGTGAACCTCTGTATTTAATTTTTTCAAGATTCTTTTGTTTCAGGTGTTGTACCGGAGGATTGGAGGAAGGCAGATGTTGTTCCTATATTTAAAAAGGGTTCAAAATCCTTGCCTGGAAATTATAGACCTGTGAGCTTAACTTCAGTAACTGGGAAAATATTTGAAGGGCTATTAAGGGATAATATTCAGGAATTCATTGGGAAGAACTTATTGTACTTACTGTTATTAGCAATAATCAGCATGGTTTTATGAAACATAGGTCATGTCAAACTAACCTAATTGCATTCTACGAAGAAGTAAGTAGAAGTATAGATCAGGGTGTTGCGGTGGATGTGATCTACTTGGACTTTGCCAAGGCATTTGATACGGTTCCTCACAATAGGTTAGTCTTCAAACTAAAAGAAATTGGTCTAGATGAATATTCCTGTTCTTGGGTAGAACATTGGCTTAAGGACAGAGTACAACGAGTTGTAATTAATGGTACATTTTCAGGCTGGACAAAAGTGGTAAGTGGTGTCCCTCAGGGTTCTGTTTTGGGACCACTTCTATTTAACATATTTATAAATGATCTTGAAATAGGCATTGAAGCCATGTATCAGTGTTTGCAGATGACACAAAACTTTGTAAAGTAATAAAATGTGAGCAGGATATTGCTTTGTTGCAGAGAGATTTGGATAGATTGGGGGACTGGGCACTAAAATGGCAGATGAAATTTAACATAGAAAAATGAAAAGTTATGCACTTCGGGGTTAAGAATGCACAAGCAACTTACACACTAAATGGTAGTGAATTAGGGATAACCACACACGAGAAGGATTTGGGCATTGTTATAGACAACAAATTAGGCAGCAATATGCAATGTCAATCTGCAGTTGTTAAGGCCAGTAAGATTTTGTCATGTATAAATAGGGGCATAAATTCTCGGGATGAAAATATAATTTTGCCTCTTTATAAATCGCTGGTAAGACCACACCTTGAATATGCTGTGCAATTTTGGGCACCTGTTCTAAAGAAGTATATCATGGCACTGGAGAGGGTCCAGAGACGAGCTACAAAATTGATAAAAGGAATGGAGCATTTTAGTTATGAAGAAAGGTTACAAAAATTAAATCTGTTTCGTTTGGAAAAACGGCGCCTGAGAGGGGATATGATAAATTTATACAAATATATTCGGGGCCAGTACAAACCTTTATCTGGAAATCTATTCATAAACAGGGTTATACATAGGACACGAGGTCACACATTTAGGCTGGAAGAAAGGAGATTTCATCTAAGGCAAAGAAAAGGTTTTTTACAGTAAGAACAATAAGGATATGGAATTCTCTGCCTGAAGAGGTGGTTTTGTCAGAGTCCATACAGATGTTTAAACTGAAATTGGATAAATACTTACAAAAACGTAACATACAGGGATATAATTTCTAATTAGTGGGGTAATAGCTGATTGATCCAAGGAGACATCTGACTGCTATTTTGGGGTCAAGAAGGAATTTTTTCCTAGTTTGTGGCAAAATTGGAAGTGCTTCAGACCAGGTTTTTTGCCTTCTTTTGGATCAACAGCAACAACATTTCTGAGGAAGGCTGAACTTGATGGACGCAAGTCTCTTTTCAGCTATGTAACTATGTAACTATGTCCCCATCCCATGTCTCTCTCTCTCCCCATGTCCCCATCCCATGTCTCTCTCTCTCCCCATGTCCCCATCCCATGTCTCTCTCTCTCTCTCTCCCATCCCATGTCCCCATCCCATGTCTCTCTCTGTCCCCATCCCATGTCTCTCTCTGTCCCTATCCCATGTCTCTCTCTCTCCCATCCCATGTCCCCATCCCATGTCTCTCTCCCCATGTCCCCATCCCATGTCTCTCTCTCTCTCTCCCCATGTCCCCATCCCATGTCCCTCTGTCCCCTCATATGTCTCCATGCCTCCCTCCCATGTCTCTGTCCCCCATGCTGCCCCCCCCCCCATCCTATGTCCCTCTCTGATGCCCCCCCCTGTCATTTTACCTCTTAGAGCAGGGAAGGTAGACTGCCTCTCGCTGGCGGCGCGCTGTCACACTGAGCGCACCCCCGTCGGCCTGTGCCACTGGCAGGTGCCAGTTTCACCAACCCCATGGTAGGACATCTACTTAAGTTGATTTAAAGGTGTCCTCTAGATCAATGTTTTTCCAATGTTTTACAGAGAAGTACCCCCAAAGGTTTGATAAAAATTCTTAAGTACCCTTCTTTGAGAAAGTAATATCTATTGATTTAAACAAAGAAATGCAAGACTACAGGGGCAGAAAAAACCCGACCCAGAAGTCAAGGGGGACCAGGTGGGTAATATGGGCATAACCCAAAAAAAGTATATTAGAAAAGTAGCAAGAACAATTTTTTGAAAGAAGGGGTCCTAAGTGAAAGAATCCTGGGTACACAACTCAATATAATTGGTAAAACTACAAATACTTAATCTTTATTAATTATTATTATTATTATTATTGCCATTTATATAGCGCCAACAGATTCCGTAGCACTTTACAATATTATGAAAGGGGATTTGACTATAAATAGGACAATTACAAATAAACTTACAGGAACAATAGGTTGAAGAGGACCCTGCTCAATCGAGCTTACATTCTATAGGAGGAGGGGTGTAAAACACATTAGGACAGGAATGTGCAATCAAATAAGGTGGGCTGCCCTTTAGGAGAGGGCAAGAGACGGGTATGTGAGGTAGGGGTTAGTCTTGGAGGCCATAAGCTTTCCTAAAGAGATGGGTTTTAAGGCACTTAAAAGATGCAAGACTAGGGGAGAGTCGGATGGCGGTAGGCAGGCTATTCCATAGGAAGGGAGCCGCCCGCGAGAAGACCTGCAAGCGCGAGTTGGCCGTACGGGTGCAGACAACGGACAGGAGGTGGTCACGGGCAGAGCGGAGAGACCGAGAAGGGACATACCTGTGGATCAGTGAGGAGATATAAGAGGGGCTAGAGTTGTTCAGTGCTTTATAGGTGTGAGTTAGTGCCTTGAATTGGCTCCTATAGCACACAGGAAGCCAATGTAAGGACTGGCAGAGGTGTGAGGTGTGAGAGAACCGACTAGAGAGGAAAATCAGTCTAGCAGCAGCATTCATTACAGACTGTAGGGGTGCAGTGCGGCTTTTGGGAAGACCAAGCAGGAGAGGGTTACAATAATCCATGCGTGAAATTATTAGAGCATGGACAAGCTCCTTGGTAGTATCTGGTGCAAGAAAGGGGCGGATGCGGGCTATGTTTTTAAGATGCAATCTACAGGATTTGGCAACATGCTGGATGTGAGGCTCAAAGGTGAGACCAGAGTCAAGTATGACGCCAAGACAGCGCGCTTGCAAGGATGGGCTGATGTTGGTACCACAAACTTGTATTAACATACAACATCAGACAAATACCAACACACAGTTAAACAAAAATAATGGTGATGAAAAAATGTCTGAGTGAAAAGAAAGTGTTGTTAAAAAAGAAGCCTTAATAGCCTGCCTGACCTGTCCTATATATTTCTAAATACCAATCATTAGATCCACCCAATTTTAAATAAAGGCAGTCACCACAAAGACTATTTGAAGTTACAATGTTATTCAAAAATACAAAATTAGAATGTAGCCATTTGGACCGTGTTACAGCGATGTGTGGGGATCAGAAGAGTAAAATAGAATAAAATAGGCCAGAGGTCCTACATCCCTCAATTCTTACAAAGGCCCAAGGTACCCGAAAGGCAATCCTCAGGCTTAGCATAGTATTCTATATGGCATGCATAATTTTTATATTATGAAATGTACAGATTATTTTGTTTGCAAAAGTAGTTTAAACACGGTCTATTGTGGCCCATGTAGGTAATATGAAACAAGCTAGTACTGAAATACCTGTCACTATGTGAAAATCATTAACATGCTTAATTGTTGTTCCAAGCTTGAACAGGTTATTTTATCTAGGCATTCAAGATTGTGTTAGCATAATGAACGTAGACCAGGTATAGCAGATAATAAAATCAGGAGTTAAGCAAGGAGTATTACGTTAAATGAGGAGTTAGCTAGCAAACAAACAGTAAATTAAATAAAGAGTTTCCACGGTATGTACGTGGGCTAAGAATATAAGTAACTTGGCAAGTCAGTCCACACACACACCTAGCCGATGCCCAGTCTGGAGGCCTTGGCTGTAGGTCCCGGATGGACGTCTGTGATTTTTCTCTTGCCAAACTTCGGCACCCCGTGCCTATGCGTGTTCTTCTCATTCTTCTCTGGCTTAGACACCTCTCCAGCCTTGGGACCTTCCAGGAGCCTATACTTTCTCCCCCCCTCCCCCCAGACTCTGTGCCTTCTTCGAAGGGGGGTATGTGTAGGGTCTCATTCCATCGCTTCCGCATGTGTCTTTCCCTCCTCCGCGGGTGTGGGTGGAGAGTTGGGGTTGAACCCAGTGCGGCTCTAATCCCGGGTGGGCCAGTAGTCATAACTGGTGCGGTTGTTGCTTTGTTCAGTTGGGACCTTTCCAGCAGCACCCCAGTGTGTTGCCCAGTGCGGGAGTCAGTCGCTCTTTGTGGACCGCGGTACCATTGGCCATCTTTGCTCGGCCTGATGGCTCCCGCCTGTCGGAGTTGCGCCCTGGAGCGTTACGGAGGTAAATGCTTGCTATGTGGGGGCGAGGGTCCTTTGTTCAGATATGCAGCTTGTCGCGGCGGCGGGAAAGCAGTCGTCCCTCCCCCGCCTCCCATGCGGTTAGGCCTCTGACACTTGTCGAGTGAATTATGCTCATAATGTCGCTTGGGTGGTGTCATTGTGTTCCTATCAGTGTCACCTCACATTTGGCGGTGAGAATCTGCTTTTCACATTTTATTTTGTAGGACAGGATTGGGGGGGTTAATGTAACAGGGTGAGTGTGGTAGGGTTGTGGTGATTGTGATATTATTAAGGGGGCTACTGTGACATGGTGAGTGTGGCAGGTTTGGTGGTGGGAGTATGACATGGTCAGCGGAGCAAAGTGTGACAGGATTAGGGGGGAGGGGGATTTATGTGACTGGGTGAGTATGGCATGGTTGGGGTGATGATTGTAACAGGATTTAGGTAGGCAAGTGGGTTAATGTAAGTTTGGTAGATTGAAGGGGGTGGAAGTGTGTGTGGGAAGGGTGACAATGTGTGGGGAGGCTGTTTCTGTGTTCCACCCCAACACTTATGCATTTGCCTTCCTCTTGGGCAGGTTCGGGGATTGTAATCAATTTCCTGGTGGTCTGGTGTGCAGCTCTGCTGTGTGCAGAGTTGCAGACCATAAGGTAGTTGTCTCACGAATTCCGGCACTTGAAGTGTCAGAGCATTTCCATGGTATCCCATGGCAACTCTCTGATTATTGGCCCTAGCTCACTGACTACTTCACAGTCTGCAGATTTGCCCCCGGAAGAACTTCAGGCTGTAGGCTTTGATGGGCTCTCTTAGTCGGTTCTTTGCTTTCAAAACGCTTCCTGTTTTTATACCTGAAGGCTGCCGTGTGATAGGTCGTCGTATCCGTTTCTTGTCCAATCACAGGGGCGATGTGGGGAGGTGTGTTGCTGCACAGCTGTAGTTAAAGGACCACTCTAGGCACCCAGACCACTTCAGCTTAATGAAGTGGTCTGGTTGCCAGGTCCCTCTAGGATTAACCCTTTCTTCTATAAACATAGCTTTAGAGAAACTGCTATGTTTATAATAGGGTTAATCCAGCCTCTAAAGCCTCTAGTGGCTGTCTCATTGACAGCCGCTAGAGGCGTTTGCATGCTTCTCACTGTGAAAATCACAGTGAGAAGACGCAAGCGTCCATAGGAAAGCATTATGAATGCTTTCCTATGAGACTGGCTGAATGCGCGCGCAGCTCCTGCCGTGCATGCACATTCAGCCGGAGAGGAGGAGGAGAGCTTCCCGCCTGGCGCTGGAAAAAAGGTAAGATTTAACCCTTTCCTCTCCCCAGAGCCCGGCGGGAGGGGGTCCCTGAGGGTGGGGGCACCCTCAGGGCTCTATAGTGCCAGGAAAACGAGTATGTTTTCCTGGCACTATAGTGGTCCTGTAATCCTCCTAATTTACGTATGCGGAAGTGACGTGTGGGAGTGTTTGTAACGTCTCTTCCGCGTCAATCAGATCTCCATTTTTGATGCGAGCAGTGCTTACTCATTTCGTCAGGGGAAATGCCGTAGCATTGCGGCCAGGGTCCATGTTACATAATGGCAACTTGTCTGGAAATTAGTCTTACTCTCTATAATAAAAGTTCATTACATAAAAAATAAATAACAAAGGAGAGTCATCAGTAGAAATATATATATCATTAGTTACTTGTGACCCTACTTGTTTAGTGTAATAATAGTTTAAAATGTCGTTATAAAGGCAATCTTATATCATAATAAATATTAATAATAATTATGCCTATAGCTCATTTGAATAGTGGCCATTTGATTTATATCTAATATAAGAAAGTCATGAGTATAATTTATAACATTCTCAACACCTTAAAAACAAATGTATAAAAATATATTAAATATTAAGCATTATACTAATAATAATAATTTTTAGAAATATCCATAAAATATCAGATACAGAAAGTGGCAGAGTTCAAAATCATTATTTAAACCGTGTGGTTGTAAGGTATTTAGATTGACGGTCCACTTCATCTCGGATTGTCCCATCTTCCTAATTACATCCTCGCCCCTCCAATTAATGTTAACTTTTTGAATTCCTAAAAATTACAATTTAGTGTGGTCACTGTTTTGCTTACTTTTAAAATGAAGGGATACGCTAAGTTTAATGAAGCCATTCCTCACATTCCTAATGTGTTCTTGTATCCTCACTTGAAGTGAGCGAGTAGTGCGGTCCTATATATCCTCACCCACATGGACAAGTTATCATTAGTGATGTCCCGAACGGTTCGCTGAACGGTTCGCCGCGGACTCATCATTGAGTAAACTTTGACCCTGTACCTCACAGTCAGCAGACACATTCCAGCCAATCAGCAGCAGACCCTCCCTCCCAGACCCTCCCACCTCCTGGACAGCTCACTAAGAATGCAGCTTCACAATGGATGCTGTCCAGGAGGTGTGAGGGAGGGTCTGCTACTGATTGGCTGGAATGTGTCTGCTGACTGTGAGGTACAGGGTAAAAGTTTACTCAATGATGAGTCCGTGGCGAACCGTTCGGGACATCACTAGTTATCATGTTATCACTTTTTTTTAGAATGGCAGGTAATGTCATTAATTTTAAAAGTTTATATTGTGTTATGTGGTTGTGCAAACTCTTTGATTAAAAGGACACTATAGTCACCTGAACAACTTCAGCTTAATGAGGTTGTTCAGGTGAGAACTATAGCTCCCTGCAGCCTTTCTCATGTAAACACTGTATTTTCTGGGAACATAGTGTTTACATTCAAAGCTAGGGACACCTCCAGTTGCAGTCACTCAGACAAGCTGAAGACCGAAGAGGAGGGGAGGATTCAAACTATGTAAACTTATTTAGTGAGGGTGAGTGGGTGACTTAGGGTGAGTGGGTGACATGATGGGGATGGATATGGATGATGGGGATGGATGGAGAAAGAGTGTGTGTGTATGTCTATAATTTTTTACTACTTGTGTGTTTGCATAGAAACACTATATAGATAGAGATCTCTCTATATAATGTTTCTGTGCAAACACACAGTTTGGCTGAGGAGGGGGCCGGGTATTGAAAGCGAGCTGAGCAGTCAGACAGCTCAGCTCGCGAAAGCGCATTCAGTGCCGCTCTATGAAGAATGCGATTGGTGCAGCGCAAAACCGCGCATGCGCACCACGTGGCGATGACGCTTCTCAAGGAGAAGCGTCCTATTGGGCCCTGCGATTTCGTCATTTTGACAAAAAAGCGGGCATGACCTAGCGGGGAGCTCGGCGCTGAAACGGAGGTAAGTTTTATTATTAAAACTTACTCTTATTTATTTATTTTATGGCAAGTTCATATAAAAACAAAGAAGGCTGGGAGACCTGTCTTTCTTGCTTTTATATGTTGACTATAGTGTCCCTTTAATTTATTTTTTTTATTTTTTTACTTTTTGTATTTCTGCAGGCGCCACAACCATAATAAAACCTTTACATTTGTTGAATGGGTTTTGTGTGTCTTTCCTCATGTTGGGGTGGTTATGTATTAAGCTATTTCTCAGATTAGGCACACCTAACATGCCTGACTTTTCCGTAAGAAAAGGAAAATCTATTTGTGTAAGTTGCAGATAATACAAGCTGTGTAGGGTGCATACTCTGGCATAAAGCAGTGTGTGTATAACGGTGCATTGAATATGTGAGTGTTAGGATGGAGAGAACACCATTTTACGACTGCCAAATTCACTTCGAAGCCTGGGGAATGTGATGTAGCATACCTGTAAAAATTGCATAACCTAATCCTATTTGAAACAGTTAAAGATGGTTCTCTGTAATAGGCATTCCTGTTCAGTCAACTGGTAAACTTATAAAAACAAGTTGTTCTAAGATCTATTGTGAGTTTAATAAAAACCTAGGTAAAGATTAGGAAATGTTTTCTTTTAAACGGTTGCTCTAAGCACCAAAACTACTTCAAATTAATTAAGCTTTAGTATATAGACCATGGCCCTGAATTCTCACTGCACATTTCTCTGCCATTTAGGAGTTAATTAATGTTAATGGGTTTCTCCAACCACCATTAAATCTTCAGTGATTTGAAGTGGGTGTGGTGCCTGTAGTCTGTATGTGTAGCATTTAGATTTGAAACACTGCAAATACAGTGATTTACCTCTTAGCTGTCACCACCCCTTGCCGCCGGGCTGGCTAATGTCGATTCTGTTTAAAATTGTCGTCTGACACCAACATTCACAGCATGATTGCTCAAGACAGCCAGTGTTCTACCTCCCATGCTGCACTTGTGCTCTCCTCAGTCTGTCCTCTCCGACATACTTTCCTTTCCAGTAATGGCCAATGATATCCGCCAAGGATCTAAATGAAAGGAGTATTTGAACTCTGCTGTGGAATGGAGGTAAACACCCGTTTTTTTTTTTTGTTTGTTTGGTTTTTTTTTTTGGACTAACCTATAATTTATAAAAATGCAATTTTCTGTACTCTGTAGTGTTCCTCTAGGGTTATTGGCATAATTTTCGTGATGTGTTTATCTCCACATTCAAAATCTCTCTAGTATTGCTTTAAAAAAAAAAAATAGTTTACACTTTCTCTAGCATATTCTTGCCCTCTGAGCCATGTTTCCTTTATTATTTACTTACTGGAAGTGATCAAGCTATGTACCAAGCCAATGAGAGGCTAATGTGAACAGAGTTGCTGACATTGACTCCTCCACACAGGGAATCAATGTTCTCCTGTTTTTAAAGGACCACTATAGTGCCAGGAAAACATACTCATTTTCCTGGCACTATAGTGCCCTGAGAGTGCCCCCACCCTCAGGGTCCCACTCCCGTGGTGCTGAAGGGGGAGGAAGGGGTTAATCCCTCTCCTCCCTCTTCTGATGTCCCTGGCTGAATGCACATGCGCGGCAAGATCCGCATGCGCATTCAGCCAGTCCATAGGAAAGCATTCTCAATGCTTTCCTATGGACGCTGGCGTCTTCTCACTGTGAAAATCACAGTGAGAAGCGCGGAAGTGCCTCTAGTGGCTGTCAATGAGGCAGCCACTAGAGGCTGAATTAACCCATAGGTAAACATAGCAGTTTCTCTGAAACTGCTATATTTACTGCAAAATGGGTTAAACCTAGCTGGACCTGGCACCCAGACCACTTCATTGAGCTGAAGTGGCCTGGGTGCCTATAGTGGTCCTTTAAATACTATACACATGCTAAGAGGACAGTGATTGGTTGTGGAGCAGATTCAAGTCAATAGCTCAGTTAACACTGATCGCTCATTGGCGATCCACCTCACAGTTGTAAAGATATTTTGTAGTGGTTATAGTCCCAAGAGTGCTCTAGGACTGTCCCACTGTAAGTAGTAAAACTTTTTGTTTTTGTTTTTGTTGTACAGTTTTGATCATTTAAACCGGTCTTGCTTAGTGAATGTCTGCATCCACTGTATGTGATCTTCTCCAGCAGGAGAATCTGGATTGCTTTACAGAGTTAATGGAACACTATAGGGTCAGAAACACAAACATGTATTCCTGACCCTATAGTGTTAAAACCACCATCTAGCCCCCCATGCATCCCTAAATATAGCAAAATCTTACTTGTATTTAAGCCTGAAGTTGTAGCTCTGCATGCTGTTTGCCTCAGAAAAACAAGCTGTCTGCTGACATCAGAAGTGGTGGCCTGACCCAATCACAATGCTTCTCCATAGGATTGGCTGAGACTGACAAGAAGGCAGATCAGGGGCAGAGCCAGCACAATTCAAACACAGCCCTGGCCAATCAGCATCTCCTCATAGAGATGAATTGAATCAATGAATCTCTATGAGGAAAGTTCAGTGTCTGCATGCAGAGGGAGGAGATGCTGAATGTTTGGATGTATTTTAGGTAGCCATAACCCAGGAAGGATCTCTAACAGCCATCTAAGGAGTGGCCAGTGAAGTTATCACTAGGCTGTAATGTAAACACTGCATTTTCTCTGAAAAGACAGTGTTTACAGCAATAAGCCTGAAGGTAATGATTCTACTCACCAGAACAAATTCAATAAGCTGTAGTTGTTCTGGTGACTATAGTGTCCCTTTAAACAGGCCCATGCAGTCCCTCTCTGCAAATGGGCCTGGCCCCTTCTCTTATAGAAAAAGATTGAATGTGGCACAAGTCCCCATGAGACCCAAGTTGTGAAAACCCTACTAAAGTCGGTTGATTACTTTTGTGGATCAGCACCAGGCTTGTAGTGGTTATAGTCCATGTGGTGTTCCTTTTAATGCTTCTCTTTTAATTGAATGCACCTTTCAGATAATTCTGCTTGGGTTAATTTAAGTATTGGCAGTGTTTTTTTTATTTTATTTTTTTTACTTTTGTTTTTGTCTAATTACTTCACATTATCCAAGTGGCATGTTTTTGATATTGTGTTGGGTTTGCCTGTTAATCTGTCATCTTTTAACATTCGTTATGTATAATTTTTTATTTTTGGTTGCACAGTTCCAAATAAGAAATCCAGTGCATATAAAACTCAGTAAAAGGAAAACCTAGCATTAGCACAATAAGAGTATGGTAAGGTATGTATAAACGGTGATTGTAGTGTTATCACAATAAGTGATTGCAACTGTACATTTGAAGATTATTGATAACAGAACTGTGAGGAATATCGTTGTCAGCAAATTAAGAGTGTGTAGCATGCAAAAGTAATTAAAGACCCCTGGGCCCCATAGGGAAACTAGGAGAGGTGATGATATAAGGGTAATCTTGGAAGAATTGGCATTTGAACATACAATATGCTAAAGAGGCTGTCCCAGACCCCAGGCAGCAGAGACAGGACACTGTCCTAAAGTCAGAATTTGGCCTATAACCGACCCCACGTACAGAGATTAGACAGGGCCTGCACCATATAGTTGACTTATTACAGTTGGGCAGGATGGCGGCTGTCCAGCCCACTCACTGCCTGTGTAGGCCTCAGTCACAGAGACTCCTCCAAGGGTCCAAAATCCAGGTTTCAAACTCAGTCTTGGAACCAGCACCTCTTTGCACTATCGACTTCTGCTTTCTGGTGCGAAGGTAAGGATAATATCCAGGATTGTGAGCTTAAAAGTACTAAAACTTCAGGAGCTGCTCTTTCATTCGACCAGTCAGTATGACGGTCAGGCCCAGCTAATCCTCTTTTTTTTTTTTTTTCCAATGTGTTTTATTTTAGGCATGTTATTTGTTTACACATCGTATAAAACAGAATACGAGGTATATCAAGGGGTACAAAAGAGAAAAGGGAAGGGGGAAGGGAAAAAGGGGAAAAGCAGCTTGTACAAATTTACATATATCTTTCAGTACAGTACAATGTAATACAGTTTGAAACAGCTAACAATTCGAATGTCTGGTAATCCTTGGTAAGAGGACATTATAGGCATTATAGGCATTACAGATAGCATGAGATCTTCACATAACATATTGGAGGTAGACAAGCATTTGGCAAGTGAAAATACCTTAGGGCATACTGACTTACTCGTAGGGGGGCTGCTTTATGGGCCCATGGAGTCAGGGGTGAGGGGGAAACCCGGTTGGGGTTAGTGGTCGGATTATGGCACCTGGGGCGCCTCCCCCTCTCTAAAGAGTATCCAACTCTGCCAACTTAATTTATACCTGCTTTGGTTATTTGTCAGCCGGCTAGCCATACGTTCATAAGCATGGAGTGAGTCCAGCCTGCTGAGGATTTCTGGCATTGTTGGCGTCAATGGTGATTTCCATCTATGTGCGATGGCAGTTTTAGTAGCCATGAGACAGTGGATCATGAAAGGGATTGCTTCCTTGGGAAGAGAATTCGGAAAAATATGTAGTAGAAAGCACTCTGGGGATTGGGGGATGTGCACCCCCAGGATTTTATACAGAAGGGCGTGTATGTCCCGCCATAGAGTGGTAATAGGCGTACATGACCAAAATAAGTGAAAGAGGGACCCTGCGCTATTTTGGCATCTCCAACAGCTTGCGTCAGAGCCCGGGTAGATACGAGCCAGTTTGGTGGGGACTAGATACCAACGCATTGTTAATTTACAGTATGTTTCCCATTGGTTAAGGCTATGGGACGCCTGTTTAGTTAATTTTTGGGCGCGATGCCATAAATCATTAGAAAAATGCTTTCCCAGATCTGATTCCCACTTAGACATATATGATGGTTTGGACAGTTTGTCTTGGAGCAGTAGAGTGTTGTAACATAGAGATAATGCTTTGATTTTTGGAAGCTTGCCCATGCATTTGTGAATGAAGGGTGATGTAGAGTCGGGTTCACTCAGGCTAATCCCGCTTTTCTGAATTATGTTTTTTATTCTGAGATAGGAGAATAGTTCCCCTGGGGGGATGTGGAATTCCCTAATCAGGTCTGAGAAGGGCTTGATGCCTTCAGCGGATAGTAGGGAACGAACCTGGGTGATCCCTTTCTTAAGCCATATGTCTAGGTGTATGTTTGAGGTTCTTGAAGTCAGGGCTTGGATTGGAGCGGCTAGGAGTAGGTCGTTATTCCGTAGGAAGAGCGGTGTAGTTTGTTTCCAGTTGTGAAAGAGCGCGACTGTGGTGGGCAGCAAGGATGTGGCTTTGGGAAATTTGGACCCGGCCCACAGGGAAAGTGGGATCGAGCCATTAGGTGTGCAGGCGTTCTCCAATGCCAGCCATATTGGGGGAGAGGGGCGTTCGAGGATCGTGAGGCCCTGGGCCAGCAGGGACGCCCTATAGTAAAGGGATATATTGGGAACACCCAGACCTCCTTTTGTGAACGGGCGCCATAGTGAGTTTTGCGCTATCCTGGGGGGTTTCCTCTTCCAAATATGAGCATTGATCATGGCCTGGAATTTCTTTAGGAGCGAGTTTGGGATTGTAATGGGGAGAGTGCGGAATAAGTATAGAATGTGTGGGAGGATCATCATTTTTACAGTGTGGATACGTCCTAACCAGGAGATCTCCTTCTCCTCCCAGGACTTGAGGAGTTGCTCTAGATTGTGAATGAGTGGCAAGTGGTTTTCGTGCGTTAATGCTGAGAGCTTCGTTGGCAATTTAATACCCAAGTATGAAATGGAGGAGTTCCGCCACTCAAACGGGTATAGTGTTTTTAGAGGGTTTAAAGAGGAAGGTGGCAATCCCAATGCCAATGCTTGTGTTTTTTTGGCGTTGTTTTTATAGAACGAGACCTTACCGTAAGTTTCCAGCAAAGTTAGTAGGTTTGGTAAGGATTTTGCTGGACGTGATAAGAAGAGAAGGACATCGTCAGCGAATAGGGCTATTTTTTGAGTCCCGATGGGGGTAGATAGGCCTTCGATCGAATTGTCACTTTTGATATGTCTAACCAGTGGTTCCATGCAAATTATAAAGATTAATGGGGAGAGGGGACAGCCCTGTCTAGAGCCATTGCAGCTAATCCTCTTTTAACATTAGTGGCTATAGAATTGCTTGTATACTGAACTCATGACATCTGATTATCTACTGCATATGCTTTTGTTACTCTAGCATCAGCACCCGCTGTTCAAATTAGAACAGTGTCTATTTTTGACCCAGGATGTTTGATAACTTTAATATGAAAAGGCCTATATATACTAATATCTTCTATCAATCTTTGCATTTTAGGTTGGTTCAAAGCTGATTCCATGCCACAAACTTGTGTTGGCCTGTGTCATACCGTATTTCCGGGCTATGTTTCTTTCTGATATGGCAGAGGCTAAGCAGACACTGATTGAGATCCTTGACTTTGATGGTGATGCCATAGAAGACCTAGTAAAGTTTGCCTACTCTTCCCGAGTGACCTTGACAGTGGACAACGTCCAACCTCTCCTATATGCAGCCTGTATCCTGCAAGTAGAGTTAGTTGCCAAGGCTTGCTGTGAATATATGAAGCTACATTTTCATCCATCCAACTGCCTGGCTGTCAGGGCCTTTGCTGAAAGCCATAATCGCGTGGATCTCATGGATATGGCTGATCGCTATGCCAGTGACCATTTTCCAGAGGTGGTGGATTGTGAGGACTTTGTCAATATGTCGCCTCAGCATCTTTTCAAATTACTGTCTTCCGGGGATCTCAATATCGAGACTGAAAAGCAGGTTTACAATGCAGCTATCAAGTGGCTTCATGCAAATCCTCAGCACCATGATGCATGGCTGGATGGAATATTGTCTCAGGTGGGGAAGCGGATACCGGGCATGTATGCTGTTTGTGCTTTTGACCGCTTGTCAATCGAACGTTATTTTTTTTTTAGATTACCTTTTCCTGACTTGACACAATTTGTTTTTATTTTGTTTTTGTTTTTTTGTAGTTTGTCAATTGTAAATTGTATTAAATTTAAATTACATCAGTTTATTAATAATAACAAATGGGACTAATAGATTATTATTTTATTTATATAGCGCCATCAGATTCCGTAGCGCCATACAATGGGTTGAAAGTAGGTCATATGAGGGCTGAATATTGGACAAGTGAAGATTTTCATAACTGAGAAAGGGGGATCGGGGGGACATAGCTATAGCTGCCAGTTGTGGAATAAAGCAAAAAAAATATTGTACAACAATTTTGTTAGGTTTAAATGAACCAGTCAAGATTGCATTATCATCTGATAATAACATTATATTAACATACAAAGAGCACATGTGGTTATGGTGCCTGGCCCCTTTAAATAAAAGTGCAATGTTCTCCACCCTTTCCCCCCATTAAAATGAAGTTAATTTTCTTTGGTAGCATCACAGAACTTGTCACCATTGTGTTCAATCTTTCCTTTAGGTGAGACTGCCTTTGCTACCTATTGACTTCCTGATGACAGTCGTTGCCAAAGAAGATATCATCAAGCAGAATTTAAAATGTAGAGACTTACTGGATGAGGCAAGGAATTATCATCTCCACCTGAGCAATCGAGCCGTACCGGAATTTAAGTATACTATACGTACCACACCAAGGAAACAAACTGCTGGTAATTAGACTTAAGTTACGTATATAGAGGCATATGTTGTTATACTGGATTTTAAAGAAATTGACTTCTCAAGGACACCCCCAAGTTACATAGTAGCCAAGGTAGGAAAATAACCTCTCAATTTAAAATAACTGTTGAATTTTGCTAGATTCATTGTTAAGGGTTATTTTGTCAATCAGTTGAGTGACATAATCAGCTTGTATTACCTGTATATCTACTATTTGAGTAGGCCCTTTTACCAAGTTTGTATATAGCTCCATGGACTTAGTGTGGGCAAACGGCTATACATTATTACCTCAAAAGGAACGTATCCTGTTGAGGCATTAGGAGTCATTCAGATTTTTGCCAATACTGCTGGCAGGTGATCAGGTCATATGGTGAACGTACCTTATACCAAGGTGACCCTAGTACTCATTAACGTTTCTTTATAATTGTAGGAGACCTCCGTAATCAACTTGTACGGCGTGTGTCCCCCTTCTCCTCCTTATTTGGTCTTTGTGTAAATGGGTAATGGGTGTAAATTGTGTTAGTGGCTGCACTACCTCTGTGACAACAAACTTCTTCAATGCTCTTTTTTTTTTTTTTTTTAAACTCCCAAGTAACTTTACACTAACTCGCTAGTTCAGTTTTGTCACCTCAACATTTCCATTGTTACCACATGCCTCTACCTTGCATCATCCAAAACATGTCCCTTGTGCATTTACCCTCTCTCCCCCTTGCCCATCCGATTTCAACTCCCTGCTTATGTCCCATTTCTCGCTCTGTTTAGGTCGCACTCTTCCTCACCATTGTCCTTTAACTTCCCCTACTTGTGTCCTTTCCCTGCACCATTCATATTCCTCTATAATCTTTCCTCATCAATACACCCCTTTCTCCACTGTGCCACTTAAAAAAAAAAAATATATATTTTTTTGTTTTTAGTTTCATGCTTGCCAGGGCTCCAGGATGCTGGGTTCGAAACACCGTTTCCTTGTGTCTCTCAGTGACTGACATTGCTCATACATTGTGAGCCACCAGGAGTTGCGCTTAGAACTTGCTAAAGCCCAGCTCCAGGGCTGTGGTCTGCTGAATGGTGCTGGCAATGATTTTGGTCCCTGGTTTACTAGAAATCTTGCCAGCTTTGTAACACTAACGAGTCGTCTTGGCTCAATTTGCACTCTCCTTTTGCAAGGACATGAGTGGAATTTTTGAACTTTGGTGTAAAGACACTATCCCTGCAACATTGCTTTTTAAAACCGTTTGTTTCATTCTAGAGAGAATTAAGAATTATGATTCAGTTTATTAAATTTGTTTAAAATTTGGTTTAGAATTAATTGTAGTATTGGGTTTATGTTTCAGATTGGGATTAGCAAGGGAATTCCTCTGCTGAACTCAGGGAATCCTTCTAAAACTATTGCTAGGGTTAGGATTAAGGTTATAATTGGGCATAGGATTAGGGTATGTGTTAGGATTGGAGTAAGGTTTATGATTTAGATTTAGGGTTAGATTTGGGATTAGGATTTGGTTTAAAATTAGAGCTTGGTTTAGGATTAGGGTTTTAGATTGGGATTCAGACTGATTGTTGCTTTCCGAAGATATTGGGTATTGTTGCACTCAGGAGACGTTGCCGAGATTTAAAAAAAAAATAAGCAACAAATACTATATGTAAAAATTGAAAAATAAAAATGAATACCACAAACTTTGAAAATAAATTGTGAAAAAAATGCCACTTCAGTAAAGCTCAAAATATATTGTGTCCCCCATGGTGTCAACTTTTGCTAATAGTATGTGTTTATAGTAATTTAAATATATTCGCTACTACAATGCACCAAAGACCCATCTTCATTTTGTCCTCCCCCCTCCCCCCCCCCAAAAAAAAAAACCTGTACTGGACAAGATATAATTTTAGCCCTGTATGTTCACAAAAACCTGACAGGGGGGGCATTCTGTACTCGGGAAATATAGCTGAGCACAATTTAGTGATTTTTATTACAGTAGTACATATTAAGTTTACAGAATAAATCACTAAATTGCAATGTGTCTCTACAAAATTGCAAAAATAAAACAATACTATCAAATTTCAAAGAAACTGAAATTGGCTGTATAATAATGCTCAAAATATACCAAAATCTCACAAATGGTATAGATTTATGTGGTAATTTTAACTGTCAAACTGTTACAATGCCCCCAAATGAGACACAGACCCATCAAATTCATCTATCAAAATTCTAATTGTAAAAACTGCAATGGTCAGGACTCTTATGACACTGCTTCACAGGATAGTAACAAAAGCATACATGGGAGTATATTTTTATTCCGTAGTTTGCTGAGCAAAATTTAAGGGGGTTTGATCATAGATCACATATCAGATTTGACAAACATCCAGAATTACAAAAAAATGTAATGGGTATGTAACAAATGCAACAAAAAACATTTTACCACAAAGTTTGCCATAAGCTGGTGAAAAACAAAATGTTGTCATGTTAAGGCACAATATACGCTATATGAGTTACCCTATATGAGTTACCCTTATGAAATACACATATAAAAAATATACACAATTTTACTACAATATTTAGCAGAAATTGGCTATTAAAGGCCTACATAAAAAGTGTCAAAATACCCTCAGGTAAATAGCCTGTGATGTCTGATTTTGTATAAATATGTACTTTGTGTGGCAATTTTGTTTTCTGTGATGGCTACTAAGCTTACAAGACAAACATACAAAATAAAAAAAAAAATTGCTCCATATTGAAATTTTATTTTACACCTTGAATTTTGTGACCTGTAACTATAGGTAATAAACAGAAATCCTAGACATATTGTATACTCTGTGAATCAGGACCACTAAATGAATTTATTTTGAATTACTTTTCTTAAACTTATGCACATGTTTTTGCCAAAACTATGGAAACGTTTTTTTTTGTTTTTTTTTCAAAAAATTATTTTTAATAATTTTTGTTTATTTTCTTAAATAATAAATGGTATTTATATATGCATTTTTTTTTTTGTCCTTAAAAAAACGGTATATAACACATGTTGGTGCAATAAATGGGAAAGATGCAAATTGCGGTTGAACACAAACTGCACGTAATGCGAAAATTGCTTGTGTCCTCTGAAGCTATGTCCTTAAGGGGCTAGACAGGCTGCCCTTGGCAAATTCAATTACATACATTGTCTAAGCTCCCCGCTACCCAGTTGTCAGTGAGATTCTTGCTTAATTTGGCTGGAGTTAAAATACATCAGATGTAAGCTAAGATGTTTATGTGGAATATAACTCCAATCTGTTTCATACAGTGATTAGCTAAGCCTTATTTTACTCCACAATAGCTTTATATGGCAAATCACCATTTTAATGGTCACATTGAAATGAATACAATGCAGCCACAAAGTATGTTTGAGTTTTTGTTTTTCTTTAAATGAATCCCTAAATATCAATAAAACCACCCATCTCTAGAAGGACTGTAGGTTCGAGATCTGACCTCAATGGCTCTCTTTCATAGTCATTTAATTGGACAAAAAACAGCATTTGCAATGAAGTAAAAAGGGGGCTGGTCTTAATTACTTTAAAGGGACACTCCAGGCACCCAGACCACTTCTGCCCATTGGAGTGGTCTGGGTGCCAACTCCCATCACCCTTAACCCTTTTATAAACTGCAATAATTACCTTGCAGGGTTAAGTCCTCCTCTAGTGACTGTCTACCAGACAACCATTAGAGGGACTTCTGGGTTCTTACACGACTTTTTGGTCGCGTAAACGACGCTGCACGTCCTCACGCTTTGCAGCGTGGCCGGAATCCCCATAGGAAGGCATTGAGTAATGCTTTCCCATGGGGAGGTTTAATGCGTGCGTGAGTGCAAGCGTGGCCATTAGGTATCCCTTGCTGGTGGACGTCAGCGGGGGGCGGAGCCTGACCCAGCGCCGAGGGACATTGGCACTGGATTCAGGTAAGTCACTGAAGGGGTTTTAACATGGGAGGGAGGGGGCCACTGTAGGATTCTTTAGTGCCAGGAAAACAGGTTTGTTTTCCTGGCACTGGAGAATCACTTTACGGGACCAGTTGTGCAACTTATGGAAGATACGTTTTTAGGTTGTAGAATTTGTTTGTGCAATTTTTAGTAAATGTATATTTTAATGTATTTTTGCAACAATCAATTCTATGCACTAAAAAATGTGCACTTTGGACACCGTTTCCCATTAAAACATATAATCAAATGTTATATGACCGTAACATAACCTATACAGAATGTGACTTACAGTGGTAGAATAGTCTTTCTCTGCACAATGTAGACTAAATGAGCCGTTGTTCACAAATGCCCATAAACATCAGTGCTGCCAATAAAACTGTGATTAGCTCAGTTGTTTTAGAAAAAGATTTGACACTGTATTTCAAAAGAGGGCATTTTTCCATACAATGTACGTGACCTTCAGCATTACAAACTTTGCTATGTGAAAATGCTTTTATCAGCATTCTAATGTGCAGTATTGCCATTGATGCAGAATTTGAGAGCTCTGAGAACGGGCACATGCTCAGGAAACTCAATAGCTTGCCCTTCGCTTAGTCCTCCCTCAGTTCTCAAAACCATTTTTGTTCACTTTTGCCATTGTGTAGAGAACCTACACCATTTGCTTAACAGAGAGATCTCCAGATAAAAAATGCTGGCAAGCTCCCTCGTCACGAGAGATACACCAACTCCAGGTTATAATTTCAGTTTATTTTGGAAACAATTTTAGGGTCCACATCTGGATTTTTTTTTTTTTTTTTTTTTTAACACTTCGGGAAGCTAATGCATTGAAGAGCAAAAACCAAGAATTTGAGAACAAGAAAAAGCTCAGAAAACTCAATAGCTTGCCCTTTGGTTAGTTCCTGCTCTGGTCTCAGACTTTTTTCTCACTTTGTTATTACCATTCTAGACCCTCAAACGGAGAGTGAGCAACATGCTTGTGCTTTTTATTACAATTATCAAAAACATTAAACTGTCTTTATACCATGTCCACGTTTTTTTTTTTGTTTGTTTGTTTTTTAATTGTTCGGCAGCTTTTAAGATAATAACGGTAAACCATAGAAATTACTAACTTGTTTAAAGAGACACACTTCTGCATTCTTGAAGCCAGCATCTTGGTTTCAGTTGTGATGACTGCCGTTCTTGGGGAAGTGTCCACAGACAGGGGACAGCAAAGTAGAGTGGGTGTTATACTGTATCACCCACAAACAATCTGGGATGCTGTTCTGGAGTGAGGGGCAGCCTCCAAAGCCAGGAAATATATCACTATATTTCTCTCCAGGGCAATGCAAAAAAGAAACTGTAATGCACTTAGGGCCACTTGATGGACATGTGTCATTAGTGGCATGGTCGTGCACTACATCGTTTTAACAGCACAACCAGCGATGACAGCGCTGGGAGGAAGTGATAACCTGTCACCTCTTCACAGCTAACATTGACCGACCCGTGCAGGAGCAAGATAGGGGGGAGAACCAGGAGAGCATGCTCCTAACTCCCAATATCCCCTGCCAGTAGAAGTCTCCTGCACCCTAAAGGTTGGAAACTGGAGGCGTGTGTGTGTCATTATTTGTTTGTATCTGTGTAACTATTTGTCAGCATTTGTATCTGTGTGGTATCTTCATGTGTGTGTCTGCACTGTATAATATATATGTGTTTAGGGGGTTTTAATTCACTTTTCCCACCATAACTTTCTTGAGATATGTATGTATATAGATAGATGGATATATCTCTTGAGAAAGTTATGGTGGGGGAAAAAGTTATTCAAAACCCATTCCACTTGAAGTCAGTGGATAGTTTATAGCTTGTTAAACACATATTTGCACACACACCCATCTCTAGGGCAGGAGAAAAAGGGTAGATTGGGTAAAAAAAAATGTATACATATGAAATAACAGCAACTATATTAATTACAAATATTTTGCCAATGTGAGGGATACAGTTTATATGGAAATAAAGGATGGGAACCACTGGGCAAGTTCATAGTTAGTGCCACCTAGTGGGTGTTTTTCAGATGTCTTACTTTCTGTATAAAAAGAACGATCATATTTAGGTGGAAATCCTAACTTGTGCCAGTAACTTCAGTGCATCACAACTTCGTTGGTGAGATCGTTGTGTAAAAATGGTCCTTTGTTTCTCAGAAAAACAATAAAGGGGAAAAATGCAGCAATTACATTTTCCCTTTCTGCAAGATCCCACTTTAAAACTGTAATTTTTGTTACTTTTTGCTACTATGTTATCATTTTGCTACTATTTTCCCTTCCCTCAATCTAATTTTTACTGTCCTTTGTATTGAATCCGTTTTTATTGAGATCAGCATGAGGAACAGTGTGTCCACGCAGGGGTTGCAATGTATGGTTGACAAGTAACATAGAATACAGAATCCGTATATTCATGGCATTTTGCCATGTGCCTTTGCAAAGGCTTATTATGTGTGATCTCTGATATTGTTGAGATCAGATTATTTAATGGGTTACCCAAGCAGGGGAGTGTTCATATGTTTAGTACTTATTTTGAGGTTCAGTTACAGCTCGTTTTTCATCATATTCACGTTGAAAGTTAGGGTCGTTGTCCATGTCGTAGGTCAGGGCGTGTGTCGGTGTTTTCTTGAGGTGTTGAGTGGTGTATCTGTCCGTTGTTGTTGTTTGTTTTTTTTGGCAGGAGATTGGATTTAGGTGGTGTGGATGTTGTGTTTACTGGGTGTCGCCTGTGGATCATCCTCTGTCTTTTATTAGTGTGTGGGGCATGCTGTCCTTTGTACAGACCAGTTAATCAACCAGTTACCAGGCAAAAGTTGACATTTGATCATGTATAGAAATGATTTCTGCCAGCAAATATTTGGGTGCTGTTACAATGAGGTGTGCAAGTGATTACATTCTGCAACACTGCACGATGTGCGCTTCTCTCTTATTTTCTCAAGTAATATAAATTATTTAAGTTCTTAATAAGTCTCATAAGACTTCTTTGAAAGAACAATCTAACATTAGGAATACAGACGTGTTATACTAGCTATTTAAATTTGTGTCACCCCCCCAAAGTAATTCGCAGTGTAACTTGCCTTTTATGCCAATGCACGCCTGTATCCATTCCTTGCTGGTTGTGATCATCATCATTACTAATCAAAAGCATTAGGTAGCTAGTTCACAAACGTGGCAATTGCCACACTGCAAATCAGCGTCTACTCAGTTCATCTCTTTGGGGAGCATTCAGTGCCTTCAGGCTGAACGTAAAGATGTCGAACAAACGTGCTGCATAAATTGCAGCCACAACAGGAAGCACCTCTAGTTGCGGTCTAAGTGACTTGCTACCTGAGTTACATGCACTAGAGGTAGCCTTGGGAAGCAATGTAAACACTTTTTTTTTTTTTTCTTTCAGAAAAGGCATGGTTTACACTGCTGAGGCTGCAGGGCCATCTCTTTGCATCAGAAATACAACATTAAGCTGTAGTGGTTATGGTGCTTAGTGTCCCTTTAAATAATCTTCTTACTGAGGGGCAGGGCTTTGCTGCCATGGCTATGCATGACTGCAGCTACTCTGAACTGACATGGTTTTCTTGACATTTTACTGAATATACCTGTGATTTTCAGTGGCTACATGTGGGACTGTTGCTGGCCCAGAAAAGGGGAATCGGCTAATAATCTTTTACTCATCAAGGTTTGGTTGTTGCTTTTATAAGCCATACTCCTGGTATACTCAGCGGTATTTCCATTGGCCATGCTTATTTTATACTCACCTAATGTTCCTAGTATGTTATTATTTTCTCTAATTATTATATGTGCCTTTTTTGCATGTAATAAAAAAAAAAAACATTCAGTATCTTTGTAGTCCTGCAAAAATAAAGAATTAAAAAAAAAAAAAAGTGTTCTTCAGACAATTGCTGCCTTTTAACCTTTGCAGTTTGTTTAATAATTCCCCTGTATGGTATAGTTCCTTGACCTCTCTTTACAGTCAGGTTGTTTTACATATTGTACCTGTCCTCTGCAGGTGTTCTGTTTTGTGTGGGAGGACGTGGAGGCTCAGGAGACCCATTTCGCAGTATTGAATGCTTCTCTTTAACAAGAAACATCTGGTTCTTTGGCCCTGAGATGAACAGCCGGAGACGACATGTTGGTGTAATCTCTGTTGGAGGTCAGTAGGAATTAAAAGAAAAAATATAAGCCATCTGGATAATTAAAACATTCTGTGTCATGTGGTAGACCTGGGAAAATTGGGTTACAACATCAGTTATAGGGTCTTGTAATTATTTGCAAACATCCCTCAAGGTGACATGCCACTTATAGAGAGGGAAAGAAGTAAGAAACAAACACACCAAAAGATCTCCCTCCGTGGTGCCTCCATCTTTTTAGAACAAAGCTGTCTACAGTTCCTATTGAAACTGGCAAGAACCACATCATTCTAATATTCTTGAGCATAGTTAAGAGGACAAATTGTCAGTCTGTGGTTCACAAAACAAGATACCTATCTATCAAATTTTATCCTTCAGTGTGGCTATTTTAATTTTTTTTTTTAATTTTTTTTTTAATATGGTTCTCCCAGAGTTAAATCAACATGATTCACCCAGACAATGACACCAATTCTTTAACTTGGGTTTATGGGAAGACCAATTTAATTACCAATACCCACCTAAATTATTTATTGGATAAATTAGCTGTTTTTTTAATTTCCCAAATGCATATCCTTGCATTTATTTATGATTGACCATATGATCAGAAGGGTTGTAGTCTGTAGACCTTCTGGTACCTAGCATGCAGCACTGTAATGGGTACTGTGTTTTGAAAATGTGTAATCTGATTGACTTAATCTGTATGCAAGCCTATTGGGTGATAGATTGATGTACAGTAAAGCTGTTTTGGTGTTTTGTTTTTTTCGCATACAATTTCCATAAAAGGAATAACCAATGTGATACTAGCTTTTCCAAAGTAACATTTATTGTTATAATTTTTTACATTTTTTTATTTTTTTATTTAGGTAAAGTCTACGCTGTAGGAGGCCATGATGGAAATGAGCATTTAGGTAGCATGGAGGTGTTTGATCCTCTTACTAATAAATGGATGATGAAGGCGTCAATGAATACAAAGAGGTAATTAAAGCAAGCAGTGTGTTCAAATTGTCAGTAGTATCTGGAAGTGCTTTAGGAGACTGTAGTGTCCCTTTTGTCACTTTATACTATTTTTGGTATCATTTATACATGCCGGCTCTAATCCATTTAACGTATATGGACGTTAATTTGTCTGTTTTGGATATTGTTACTATCACACTACTAGTGCTCTGTAATTTAGACTGCAATTTCCCTGAGCTGTACTGAAAGTCTTCCTATTTATTAATCATAGCATTTTGTCTGACACCCTCTCGCCTACTCATGTAAAATATATGCGTAAAATATATTTTAGCTCAGTCACTCCCCATTTATTCAAGAGCAGTAGTAAGTAGCCTTTTTAATGCTACAGCATTTAAAACCAGCTGGTGCAGTACACAAACCCTTGATGACCGTTATGTGCACAACTCTAATTTAGGGAAAAAACACTGTAAAACTGAAAATTTCCTGTACTGGGTAGCCAAACGTGGTCTAGCTTTATTTTGAGAAAAAAAAACAAAAAACATTTGTAATGTTTTAGTTGAGATTAAATGGAGGTTTAAATGATCTGTTAGTATCGCTTTCTTTGAAGATTTCAGTATTGTGAACTAGATACCTTTTATGTATTCTCATCATATGACCCCCTTTTTTTTTCTTGTTTGTCTGCAAACAACATGGCATTTTTAACTACTTCTACCCAGTGGACTGTCAATGTTTAAGTACAGTCAAAATGTTCGCCACAGTCATGGTAATGTGTTAGGAGCTGGGGTGCGTTAAGGGTTAGGAATTTGTATTCACGTTGCAAAAATAGGGTTTACATTGGTTGAGCAAGTCCAGAACCAGGTCATAAATAATAGATATCTGAACTATAGGGGACTTGAGTGTGTGTTACAAAAAATGGCCAGCTTGGAAGAGCAGGTTCAGCCTACAACCGTACTACAGTCTTCAGCTGTTTTGTTTACGTTTTATTGGCTCTTGTCATTTTGGAGTTAACAAAATTATAGTCGGTAGACAATAAAAACTATAATGATTACATTAACTTGAGGCACTCAGATGTAGTATGGTCATTTTAATAAGACTGATATCACCAAGTCCTCCATTATGTTGTGAGATAGTTTTATTCTACATGTTTGCCCCCAAAGTTATAGGTAAAGAAAATTTAGTTTTTCTTTATTTTCTCTACTTTCTTTGTTTTACTACAACTCTGCCTGAACTCCCCATTGGCCTCATGACTTGTAATGCATGTAGCTAACCTATTTCAAGTTGTTTGTTCCTATGAAATTTTTATGTAGCTATGATTGTTCATACATCAGCAGTCGGTGACAGGGCAACCTCCTACTAAGATGCAGAAAGAGAATTGATCTCTCTTCATTTACCAGCTTACATGTAGCACCAGCTTTCTATAACTGAAAACAAAGGCCTTTTGGAAACTGCCCTTCAAGTATGCAAGTTTATTTTATAAACTTTTTTTGTGTGTATGTGTTCTTGTATTCCTTTGTGACACATACTAGTTATCAGTGCTTTCATATAGATTCAGTTACAGCTGGTTGTTATGGTTTTCGCTAAATCAGGAAAAAGATCTTTTTCAGTCGCTTTAATAAATTATATTATCAATCCAAACTTGTTAATTTTTTTGGTGCTTGAGGTGGTAAAGTAATGCTAGACCCCAAGGATTTACCTTCCCAAACAATGTTTAATTACTCCTGGGAACTTGTAGATGGACACCCAGTTTGGATGGATAGGGTGAATCTATTTCTGGGTCTCTACCTGTATTTGACATTACTCTCAATGCGTACAAATTCTACTGTTCTATTCACAGGTACACTCCAACAGCCATAGCTCTTACTGAAATATGTAGTGTAATCATTTGTCTGTACCTTTGAGGTATAGCAAGCTATTACAGGAGACCGTTTACACTTTGTTCCATTTGTACCCTCACTCTGGGGAAAATCGACCAACAGTCCAGCCTTTATGGATATTCCATATAAAGATCAGTGGGTAGTACCTAAATCATGAACTGTTGTTGGTTAATTTGGAAAATTTTGTTAAATATTACTTTAAATATTTACTTTTTATTACTGTTCATTTCAGAATATGTGGCATTGGAAACTTTGCAAATATAAATAAGATATTGCTGTTATATGCTTTATATCAAAAGACCGCCAAAATTAAATATTTTTTAGGAATTAAAAGTTGAGGGTAAGTACTCAATTATATTTCTTTATAAATCCTCTGACTCTAATTAGGAGAGGAATTGCACTGTCATCACTTGGTGGCCCAATTTATGCAATCGGTGGTCTGGATGATAACACATGCTTCAATGACGTGGAGCGATACGACATAGAGTCTGATCGCTGGGGTACAGTGGCTCCCATGATCACTCCTCGAGGGGGAGTTGGGTCAATTGCTCTTGTGGTAAGTTATTCGATATGGCTTCCATTGTGGTAGTGTTTTTTACTTTTAGTTTTACCAGGCCATCCTGATGTTTTGTTAAATGCTGTAACAAGAGTGTTTATGCAGTAAATACCGAACCTATGCTAGACTTTAGGGTGGGGGACGACCTTTCTTGCCTCCATGAGCACACATAGTCTGACCCTTTTCGTATGTGTATATCTCTAGAAACTGTGTTAGATTTAATGGAAATGTAGTCGGTGTTTTACCAGAATGCAAACCTTATTACGGGTTTCAGGTATTCTTCTTTAAACAAACAATTTCAGTGTGCGTGACTCGTTACATAAAGGGAAACAGAGAAGGGTGCAATTCGATCCTTGGCCTGCAATATCTGGTTGGCAAAATTGTGTTCCTGTAGATTTAGGTTACAATGACTGAGCATCCATGATTGTTGCTGTACCTTCCATACACATCCTAATGATTTCACAAACCAATCATGTCAAACACATTTCTTTTTAGAAGGCAGCAGCCACTTGCAGTATGGCAACGAAGACTAGGAAGATGAAAATAAAAATAAAAAAGTCGCCTTTTTGTTATATTGCTATTTTGCTAGCACCATGATTACATGCAGTATCATTCGCTACAGAAGTGTCTCTAGGGTTGTGAACAATATTGCCAGATACTATGTCTCATTGATGTGTCCAGTTGTACAGGAATTCATTGAACAGCACAAATGTATAGAGATCCAAATCAATCACCCAGATGTATCTCTGAATGTATGTGGGGTTCAAGTAGCAAACTACTAAAAAATGGAAGAACTTTTTACCTGCCCAGTCAGTGGCAAACTGAATGATTTTATGTAAACCATTTCTTGCAGCGGTCTATAATATTTATGGTTAGCTACTGGTGGAAAGGCTGGGGACTCTTATTTTTTTGCCAATTTTGTATTTCAGAACCATGTGTATGCTGTGGGAGGAAATGATGGAGTTGCTTCCCTCTCCAGTGTGGAGAAGTATGACCCACATCTAGACAAGTGGATTCACGTCAAGGAAATGGGCCAGAGGAGGGCTGGAAATGGAGTGAGTGAACTGCACGGCTGCCTCTATGTAGTAGGTAAGTGAAGAAGGTGTGTGTACGGTATGCTCCGAGCACTCTTACCTCGTGCCTAGTCTTTGCACTCACAGATTTACACCCACTATCACAGGGTTGTAGAACTTCAGACTCCTAGTTGTTAATGAAGAATGAATCCCTGTCAGCCACCAAACTTACAGCTTTCCATTTGTTTTCTTGGCTGCAGCTGGACCTAGACAGATGGCTTTACTATCAAAGCCAGCCATGAAGCAATAATACACGCTGAATCCTCTCTGCACTCTGACACTAGAAGGAGGGGGGAGGAGGGGGCGGGGGTGCGTATTATCCACTAAACACTGAGCTGTGTTGAGTTGACAACTGAAATAAAAAAAAAACATGGCAAATGTTCTCCCTCTGCTTTCTGGACTACCATTTTGCAGCATGGTGTAGAACTCAACAGGGTGTTCACACTAAACTGGGTATTGAGGAGAATCAATGAGGGATTTAAGCCAAACTGGGGTGGTGGGAATCTCTATTTCAGGTACACTCCTAGCTCTAATATTTTGACCTACATTTGCAGTTCCCTTTGTCAGTTTGTTTCCATTTCAAGTTTAGTGTATAATTCTCATTATTAAGTGGGGGGACGATACTTTGTTGACTGGCTGACTGCTTCCTGCGGCTAGCCAACAAAGAATGTGGCGCTGCAACACTGGAGTCGAATAATACGGGTATATACAGAGAGCAGAAGGTGAGAAATTACACTTGTCACTTCAGTGGAGGTCTTGTATAGATTAATTGACTTAAATCCACAAATCAGATTTGCGGGTTAGAAAATATTAAAATATATGCACTGATCAAGTCACGACTCTTGCATGTAATGCTGTACCTTGGTGCATCTGTAAATAACAGACGGAGAATTGTGTGCAGCAAAATCTTATTCTACTGCTGCTGTTTGTAACATTCAGCCTGGATAAGAGTCTTAGAAGATTCTACAACGGCTATAGTGCAAAATGCTAGCGATCATTGGTTCAAATTGGTGTAAGAGCCATTGTGTCTGTATTCCCTTTTCCAAAGATCCGCATTTTACAGAGTACCTGGGTGGGACTATTACTGTGCCTGGTATTCCAGCTTCAAACATTACTTTGCCAATAAGAGATAAAGGGCCCCCGTCATGGTGCAAGCAGATGGAAATTTGGAGTACATAGCCTTATTGTTACATTTAAATACCTCTGGCATAACTCGATTGTGAATAGTAACTTGTATAGCACTTCTCTCCCACGTATATTCAAAATATACTAAGCCTATGGCTTTCTGCAGTGACTTGTGCTTGGGCCTAAAATTGTCTGATGTCAAAAAAACAAAAATCCATGTTTTCCATCATGTTGTTTGACTCGGGAATCTCACTGTTAATAGTTTTGAATTTTTTTATTTTCTTGAGGACAGAATCTCCGTTGTTTCATGTTGGATTGTTTGACCGTTGTTTGTGTTTCCACACAGGGGGCTTTGATGACAATTCTCCACTGAGTTCTGTAGAACGATACGATCCTCGCACGAACAAGTGGGAATATGTTGCAGAGCTCACTACCCCTAGGGGCGGAGTTGGCATAGCAACACTAATGGGGAAAATCTATTCAGTGGGTGGTCATAATGGAAATGCTTATCTGAACACAGTAGAATCTTACGACCCCTTAATGAACAGGTAATTGTACACTGTACTTATTATACATGTCTGTTCTTCTGAATTATACTGAAAGGCGATGCTGCAGGTTTCCTCTCTGCAGGGGTGCTTGGATGTTTTGATACATGATCTTAGAGCAATTTTCTCAATCTTACTGCAGATGCACAGAATCTGAAACAAACTACTACTACTACTCACTATATGCTAACATTTTCTTACTTAAAGGAGCATTCTGCATCATAATCACTACAATGAGTTGTTTAGTTTATAGTGTAAAGAGTAAGGGTACCATCAACTAATCTGTGTCCGTTTTTGTGACATTTCTCCTTGCTAGTCCACCTCTGCCACCCATAGTGAAGCAGAGGAATCTGGGTGTAAAAAAGTTGTATTAGTGCTTGGAGTGTTTCTTTACAAATATTACCCCTTTAACCAACACCCAAACAACTCCTCCTCACAGGGTCCTCAGGCAATAAAAGATAAATATATCTATATTTATGTCTAATGAAAGTTTGAGAACAGAGAATTCCTGCTCCTAGCATAATGCAATAAGATATACTCAGTGATTAACACCCTTAAAAAGGGCAGAAATAATTATGAACGGGTGATGGCAATATTACCTTTTTACCCTGTGCTGTGAGCAGCATAAACAGGAGCTCACATTAGGGATCGACCGATATTGATTTTTTTTTTTTTTAGAGCCGATACTGATAATCTGTGAACTTTCAGGCCGATAGCTTAACGATATTCTGTACATTTACCGTTTTGAGAAAAATTTATTTTTATTAAGTGGTAAATGCTCAAAATACAAAATCTGCCAGTCAGATTTTTTTGTAATTTTTTTTTTATGTTTTCAAAATATTTGTGTGTGGGTAGTGGATGCAGTGTGTTTGTGTGTAAATATGTGTGGTAGGAACTCCTCCCATTCCCCTTAATGTTCCTCTCCCTTATATTTTAGTGCCCCTCCCCACCCAAGTGTTCCTTTTCCCTTCCCTGTACCTTAATATCCCGTCCCATCCCCCTGAACTGTCCCTTAGTGTTTTCCCCCATTGTGTTCCTCCCCCCTTCCCCGTCCCATTGTGTTCCTCCCCCCTTCCCCGTCCCATTGTGTTCCTCCACCCTTCCATGTCCCATTGTGTTCTTTCCTCCCCCTCTTCCCTGTCCCATTGCGTTCTTTCCTCCTCTGTCCCATAGCATTCTTTCATCCTCCGAAAGTGTAACTTCCCCCTGTCTTGTCTCCCGCAGTACAGGAGTTTGTCTCCTGTACCCGGCCGGAGTGACAGGAAGTGCTCTCTCAGTGAGCACTTCCTTTCAGTCCGGCCAGGTACAGGAAACATAAGTTCCTGTACCGCGGTACACACTGCTCTGCTCGGCAACGCTACACAGTGTGCCTGGCAGGAGGTAGCGCTGTGTGCCCACCTCCTGCCGGTCACTCCAATCTAACGCTCCCTAAGGTGGCCACTTATGCCCACCTCATTATCGGTATTATCGTCCGATACAAAAAAAATCGGAATATCGTAACGATAATCGGTCGATCCCTAGCTCCCATAGATGAGGGCATTAGTAACACAAGAAATTGTATATTGTAGTTTTGACTTGATCTAGTACCGATTTAAAGGTGAAATGCTGGGAAGTGTTATGATAATGATCACAGAGCCATTTAATGAGTATAGATATGTGCCAGTTGTCTGTTGTCACTAGGATATACAGTACCCTGTCATGTTTTTGAAGGAAATTCAGTAATTAATTTTTTTTATTTTATTAATAAAGTATGAAGGGGTGCTCTAATGTCACTGTACAAGCTGTATGTGGCTTTACTGCACAGCTATCACTCCAGACATGCAGTATTCTGCTTGCATTGCTACTGCTTTCTTCTCCTCACTGCAGGGCTAGCAGTTTAACTCAGTCTGGTGTGTTAAAACAAAGGATAATTAAACAGCATGAGCGTCCCACAATCAGCAGGCGCAGAGGGTGCATTAGACCTTACCATTGGAAAGCATTGAATCGGTACTTTCCTATGGGGGAAAAAATCTGATGCTGGGTGTCTGCGTGCAGAGCGTGAGGACGTCCAGCAGCAGATACCGGTCTGTTTCGATTCAAAAAGCCCTCTAGTGGCTGTCTGGTAGACAGCCACTGTGGGCAGACTTAGTGCTGCTATGTAAACTAAGTGCAAAAAGGACACTGCACCCAGACCACTTCAATTAGCTGATGTGATCAGGGTGCCTACAGTGTCCCTTTAAGATAAAAATCTTTATGGAATACTCACATTGACTGTGTGGTAATTTCACTGAAATTCCAACACATTCAAAAGAAAAACATACTGAGACTAATACTTAGTTTTTTCCTAACATTTGACAAAAAGCGGAGCTATCTTTTTTTTGTTAGGCCTGAAGTGTCACCAGGGATGGCTGAGGGAATACAAATACTGTGGTCTATGGTGGATCCCTTGAGACTGCAGGATCTTCAATAGACCGTGTTGTACTCTCGCACATGCGTGAGAATACAATACTGATGTGGACTTATAGCAGCAGCCACATGAAACCAGTTTAAGCAAGTATAACTCTACTTCCCCTGCACCCCTCGGCAACCAGAAATCGAATGGCAAAGTCACTGCTGGGTGTCTTTGTCACCATCTGGAGTAAATTGCATACTTTGCAGAGACTCTTTAACCATGTAAAACAAGTAATGCTAATTAATAAAACATTCTGTAAAAGTATGGAGTGCTTGCATATTTTATCTGAGGGATACATCTATATTGCCTTCCAAGTTTATCGTGTAGACAACCAGTCATTTGATTTACCCGGTCTACTCACTTTTTCTTCCTTTTTTTGTGCAGATGGGAAATTGTGGGTTCCGTAGCTCATTGCAGAGCTGGGGCTGGTGTCTCTGTGTGCGCTTGCATATGTACACAAATTAGAGATGTCGGCCAGGGATCCAGCAATGTTGCTGACTGTATGTGATCCACGCTCCCAAACCACTAACTGGTCCTCCAGTGAAGATGCTGTACATGAAACTGAAAATCAAGGTCAATGGGTTTTGTGTTTTGGTTTGCTTTAACCAAAACCAATCTAATACAAGTTTTCTTGTTTGGTTTTGGTGCTAAAAGGGGAATTGTTGGTCTATGACTGCTTCTATCCCTCCTCCCGCTTGAAATTGCCTTTAGAATTTAAACAGTTAAAAGAACATGAGGAAAGTTACAGAAATATTTTAAGCATCACGATCTGCTATTTTGGTATTTTACTGAATATAGCTTGCAGGGGGTAGGAAAAACCATCCTTATTGTATCACTAAGTAAACGTCAAATCATTTATAATCTATATTTTTCCATCTGGAGACCTTGTTGTTTAAAAAGCTAAATGAAGGTTGCTCTCTTGACACATGTTCTTTTGTGATAATGCGTGGATATTATGTGTTCACATAGCATTATTAGTGCATATTTGTAAAACTAATTTGTGTTCTGTTCATAGGAAGTATAAACCTAATTTTAAGTTGTTTTTTTTTATTTGTTTTAATTTATTGAAGTGCCAAATTTTTTGCATAAAGCTTCACAATTGATGCTTAAAATGTGTATATATATATATATATATATATTTTTTTTTTTTTTGTCCGTCTGTAAATCTATATGTTTGAGATTTAAGAATGTATATAGGTTGTATTTATTGTTGATTCCTATCTCGTTTATGTGAAATTCTGTATCATGTTTAGAAAATTTCTATACAAACCACAATGTTTTACTTTTTGAAGTTTAAATTTTAATAAAATGTCTGTTTAACAAATAAAAATACAAAGTATTTATACACCGAACTGGAGTGGAAGAGTCATGTTTTCAGAATAATTTTAGTACATTTTCCTTTCCAGATGTGATTGCTATATGATTGAATATAAAGATCCCAAAACTGTACAAAAATAAGAGCTTAAAGGGGAACCGTCATTCCTCTAAATATTTCACCATTAAAAAACAAAACATTGAAAATGTAATTATAAAAGATCTTGCATCTAGGGGCGTGGCTTGACCGGGAACCAAGCTGGACGTGCAAGCCTAGAGCTCCTCGCTGAACCCCTGTACCAAACGCCCACAAAAGCAATAGACCCGCGAAAAACCCACCCATCCCGACCCCTAACCCACCATGGACAAGCGCCTGCCAAGAAAACCGGCCAAAAAACACGCAGACACGGCCGCCACGGTGCCTGAACTATTCGCGGCCTCCCACACGCCGCGCCAGGACACCCAAGATGGCGGCGGATCCAGCCCGCGAGCCCCTGGCTCACCAGGAAGCTCAAGCTCATCTCAGCCCCACGGCTCAACCGCATCAGAAACGGCCCACATACTGACG